CTATTATCAAACGGTAAAAGGACCATTTCCTTCAAAATATGTTCACAAGCATTTACTTCAAAAGTAGATAAAGTTACTTACAGTTTTATGTACAGTTTTATTAGATACCTGCCAAATTCACTTCTGTTCAAACATCTGTGAATGTTGACAATACAAAAGTTTGAGTGTAGTCTAATGTAGCTTAGATCAATGAGATAGATTAGAACCAAGAGAGATTGTATTTGTGTATAGCATAAAAACATCCATCCATCCATCCATTTTCTTCCGCTTTATCCGTTGCCGGGTCGCGGGGGCAGCAGTCTAAGCAGAGACGCCCAGACTTCCCTATCCACACACACCTCCTCCAGCTCGTCCGGGGGGACCCCAAGGCGTTCCCAGGCCAGCTGAGAGACATAGTCCCTCCAGCGTGTCCTAGGTCTTCCGCGGGGCCTCCTCCCGGTGGGACGTGCCCGGAACACCTCCCCAGGGAGGCGTCCAGGAGGCATCCGGAACAGATGCCCGAGCCACCTCAACTGGTTCCTCTCGATAAAAACAGTAGTAGATATTTTTGAGAAGTTTAAAAAGCTGTCGATTCGCCAGCACAGATTAGAGAATCAAAGACCATTGTAGAATAACTGACCCCAAACCTGCTAAAACAGATTAGCTCTTGTAAGGATAATACCAATTTGATTAATGATGTACATTCATCCCAAACTGCCTGAGAGGAGGAAGTGACATCACTTCCTGGTTCAACAAATGTATTTGGAAAACTGACGGCCATAATAATGTTCATATTAACCATTTGTCTTACTGTGTTCAGTTTTATTCCTGAGAATGTAGAATAGACATAGAGCAAAATCCCACGGACACAAAGCCACTGATAATGAAAGTAAAATACAGTACAGAGAGATTTATTAGATTAAAATGTATGTTTAAGAATATGGCTCAATAAAAGAAAATATGCAAACATATTTGTAAATAGATTAGAATAGTTTTAAACTATAGTGAATAGTAAAAGTAAAGTACACAGTCTAAGATTGAAAAGTGAAAATAATACAGTGAGTGAAGTGAAGTGTAAACAATTATCATTGGAATAAAAGTATAGAGTAAGAAAAGTGAAATTAGCTTCTAAATTGAGACTCAGCTCGTTTTTGTCTGTGTTTTGACTGAATCTGCTGAGTTCTACTGTGTCCAATAGTGTTTGTTTGTTTTTGATTTGTTTTTGTTTGTTTTTGTTTATTTTTGTTTATTTTTTTATTTTATTTTTCCCAGGATAGAGGATAAAATCCACTGATATTGATTTGATGATTATGAGTTTAATGCATACATTTTCTTTGTTTTTTAATAATTTTTTAAAGTTTTTTTGTTTGATTTGTTTGATTTTTTTTTTCCACTTTATTGATTGATCAAATTGAGTGATCACATGTGATTATGTGATCAAAGGGGAGGGTGTTAGTATTAGATAGCAATATGGCCTACGTGCAGGACTGTACAAGGACTCTGATTATTTTGACTATGATGTGACTGTCTCTGTGTGACACGTACGTCTTTCCATGTGTGACGTGACAATGACTATATAAACTGTGTACTGACTCCATTCTGTCTGAGAGAAAGAAACAATGGAAACCACTGGAACTTGAGAGAAACTAAATAAACTTCCAGAGTTTGGCGCACCACGATCCGTCTCTGTCTGCTTCATCCCTGACACATCTATTCCCGCTGCTGCTTCGGTCCAGCCCGCCTCGCCTCCGGTGGACTATCTTCAGTCCCTCACTCCTTCCCCAGCAGCGCAGACGTGACGTGGTAGCTCCCAGTTTGGAGCCTCTGCTGCACTATAACAGCAGCGAGGGAATAGGCCCATGACAGCCCTATCCCCGGCACTAACGTATGGAGTATACACGGATGCGGAGGCCTGGCCTTGGTGGTCAGGCTTTCCTCCCATCGAGGATGGAGTACGCCTGTACACCAGCTTCCTCCGTGGTCTGGGCTGGGCAAGCCGACCGTGTTATGCTTATGCATCATAGGTCGTTGCTTTAGCTAATAACATTACTCTCCTCGCTGCATCCGTCGACAGGGACTGCTCGGCCACCCCGCACCGTTTAGAGCCCGGGGGCTCCCTGGGTCCAGTGCGTGGGAGACAGCAGGCGGGTGATCAGCGGAGGAGGAGCGGCAGCCACCCCGGCTTTGCAGCTCCAGGGAGGGGAGGGAAATGCTTTAATAAAGGCCGTCATCAGGCCCGTTACTCCCTCAAAGAGAACACTTCTTTCCCCTTTTCCTCTCCCTCAGCACTTGGCCAACTCTGCACATCTACCAAGCGCCTGGAGCCTCTCTCAACGCGCCTCAAGTGCGCGCGCTGGAGGCATGCTCCGGGACCGCTGTGCACTCCCGTGCCTTCGCCTCTCTTGGGCAGAGAGTGCGCGGCTGCACGCTACCTTCCTACGATCTCTCTGCACCACGAGGACCAGCTCACAGCTGTCCTGCCCTCACGCTGCTACCCGATAAAGGGCCCAGGGCTGCAGCTAGGGCTCAGCCCTTTTCCCACGGGCCCCCCAATATCCGATGCCTCCCCAGGAGGGACATTTGTGGGCGGGCCGGGCCTTACTCCCTCCTCCCATCCCGCCATGCTTCCCTTTACCCATTTTGTCAATGTATGGGAACAGGCGGGGCTTCTGGGAACACAGTGGTTATGCAAAGTGCTGAGTCAGGGCTACGCTCTCCAGTTCGCCCGGCGGCCCCCTCCTTTCCGCGGCATTCTCCAGACAAGGCTGCGCAGGAGGACGCCGCAGCGCTTCACAGGGAGGATGACGCGCTTCTGCAGCGCGGCGCAGTAGTGGAGGTAGACCCGCTCAGGGCTGGGACAGGGTTTTACTCTCTATACTTCATAGTCCCCAAAAAGAGCAGGGGGGTGCGGGCCATCCTAGACCTGCGCGTCCTCAATGGCTGCATAGCCAAGCGACCGTTTTGCATGCTCACAGTCAGAAAGCTACTGTTGTGCATCAGGCCCGAGATCTGGGTGACCTCCGTGGACCTCAGGGACGCATATTTCCACATACCCATTGTGCCGGAGCATAAGAAATTCCTCCGGTTTTCCGTAGGGGGGGGGGGGGGAGTGCTGCGGGGGGCTAGGACCTTCTCCATGTGTGAGGAGGCAGCTCTAGAACCCCTTCGGCGTCAGGGACTCAGGGTACTGACCTATATCGACGACGGGCTGATCTTGGCCTCCTCTCCGGAGGAGGCACAGGATCACACGTCCAGAGTGATGAACCATGTCGCCCACCTAGGGTTTGTGATCAATATGGACACAAGCTCCCTGTGCCCGGCCCAGGAGATCTTGTATCTGGGACTGGTCTTGAATTCCAGGAGCATGACGGCTTCACTCTCGCTGGAGAGACAAGCGGCGGTTCAGAACCTGGACCGGATCGTTCAGGGCGAACCTCAGGTCCAACCTAGGCAGATCCGGTCACTCTTGGGCATGATGGCAGCGGCCCATCCAGTGGCGAGACTGGGGTTGCTGCACATGCGATATCCCCAGAGGTGATTCTCACACCTCGGGCTGATAACAGAGGGCGCGACTGTCGGTGAGGGCTTAGAATGATGATGCCTTCCGGGCTGTCTCCAAGTCGACTCCAGGAGGGAGTTTGAATGGGTCTGGTGGACCACCACATCGGGGTCTTCACGGACGCCTCACTGAGCGGTTGGGGAGGCGTGCTCGGCCACCACTCGGCAGGAGGCATTTGGTCCTTCCCCTTGGGGCACATCAACCTCCTGGAGTTGGAGGCGGTGCGGTTAGTGCTGGCCCATTTCGTGACCAGACTGGAGGGCCAACATGTGATTGTTCGGACGGACAACCCCACTGTGGCAGCTCCCCCACCCTTCACAGGCTGGCCGTGGAGGTTCTTCTGTGGGCGGACATTCACCTAGCCTCCCAGGCGAGCGCAACGTGGCCGCCGACAGGATGTCCAGGGGCGGGGCCTTTCGGGACGAGTGGGGTCTCGCCCCAGCAGTTGTGGCAGAGGTCTGGCTCCGGTTCAGGACACCAGTGGCTGACCTTTTCGCAAATGTAGAGAACGCAGTGCCCACTCCGGTTCTCGCTCAGGTCAAGCGACGAGCCCCTCTCGGGGTGGACACCATGGCACACTGGCCGTGGCCCAACGGTCCCCTCTAAGCCTTCCTGCCTCAGGCGGGGGGAGCCCTTTACTCACGCCCTGTCCTGGGACGCAGGCTCATGGTTTGGAGGCTGAATGGGGGAAACTGTTGAGCCTTGGTCTCCCTCCCTCGGTGGTGGTATGAGGTTCGCTGGAAACTCTTCGCCTCTTGGTGCGTGGACGGGGGCCACTCTTGGGGTATTCGCTTCGGCCATTACCACAGGGCACGTGGGGTTTGGCAGCCACTCTGCGCGTAGCCACCCCTGGGTGAAGCGCTTGCTCCGAGGGGCCTGCAGGATCAGGCTTCCCCTCCGGCGGTCGGCTCCGTCTAGGGACCTTCAGGTGGTCTTGTCTGGCCTTTCAGGGCCTCCCTTTGAACCCCTGGACAATGCGACCATTGCCTGTTTATCTTACAAAACGGCATTATTGTTGGTGCTGGCTTCGGCCGAGAGAGCGCCCTTTCCATGCAGCCATCTTGTTTGTCCCTCCCCGATTGGGAGGGCGTGATGGAGTTGCAGCCTAACCCGTTGGTGGAGCAAATACAGCAGAGGGCGTTCTGGGAGGGTCCTCTGCTTTCAGGCTTAAAAAGAAGCCACAATCACGGTTCAGGTGTGGTGCTGAGGACACAGTTTTTTTTTACCGTGCTTCATGTGTTAATGTCAAGGACTTAAGTTCAGTCATTTTTTTTTTTTTCTACAAATATATTATTAAATGGATGGACATGGTCTAGATAGTGTTGTAAAATGTATTTAGCTCTGAGAGCACAAACGAGAGACTCTTCTCCAACTGCAGCCGTACCGGCTCTGGCTTTATTTCTCACCTTCAAATTATAACAGCATAACCAAGGGTGGCCGCTTAACTGCCTGATGTAAAATCCTAAAGTCCCGACAGAGACTGCTGCGGCTGGGCCAGCGCTGGCTCCAAACTTGCCTCCCCTCCATGCAAGAAAGGGTCCGATGCGACAACCCGACTAGCAGGGGGCCGAGCAGGGAGCGGCAGAGTGTATGGTTTAAGTCTGTCATGATGAACCACCTGACTCCGCTCCTGAGTATCCAGCGGATTAATGATGTCATAGGTCAGTGCCGGTTCACCCCCTGACGAGAATACCTGCACCACCTGGTACGGGCCCCTCCAATGCGGCGCTAATTTAGTGCGGCTCTCCGTCGGATTGTTCAGCCACACCAACGCGCCAACACCGTACGGCCGATGACACACTGTCTGGTCATGGTAAAGTTTTTGTCTCTCAGAGGCCTCCAACGCATGAAGCCTGGCAGCACCAAATGCAAACTCCAACCTTTTAACTCACATATCTCCATAGTCAGACACAGATCCCGCCCCCACATAGTTGAACACAGGGTTAGATACAAGAACATCTGCAGGGACCCGGGCCTCGCGGCCATGCATCAGATAAAAGGGAGAAAACTTAGTGCTAGCATGGGGTGAAGTGTTATACGCAAAAGCTACCTGCTCTGTAAATCCATCCCATTCACCCCCTTGAGACAGTAACATCTTAGCAAGTTGGTCAATCAATGTCCTGTTATGGCGCTCCACCATGCCATCCGACTTTGGGTTGTACGCAGTCGTGTGAGTCTTCTTAATACACAGTAGTTTACACAGAGTCTGGATGACCTCAGCCTCAAACTGGCGACCCTGGTCAGTGTGGAGCATCTCAGGAACCCCATGTACTAACACATAGTCATTAAACAAACAGGTAGCAACAGTGTTAGCTGTCTGATTAGGCAGAGCATACAGATCAACATACTTTGTAAAGTAGTCCTTGACAACTAAAACATACCTATTTCCCCGAGAGGTTACAGGTAGCTCTAAAATGTCAGCCGCCACACGCTGCAGAGGACGACACACCTGCATAACCCCCATGGGCTTAGGAATAGGCGACCTGCGAGTCTGACAAGCCCTACACTGCTCACACCACTGTCTTATGTCTCCAAGCATAAAAGGCCAGTAGCAAGACTGCCTCGCCTTCTCCCAGACCCGATCCACAGAGAAGTGCGCAGCAGCCGGCCCCCCGTGAAGATGCTGGAGTAGATCAGGGACCAGAGAGGACGGGATGACAACCTGCAACGGCTCCAGGCCGGAGACTGTGGGGCTATCTGTCCTACACAGCAGTTCCTCATTGATAGAGAAGGGACCAAATTCAGCCCACAATTTCCAGAGACAGAGAGAAGACCCCTTAACTTCCCAACGAGGTGGCCTATCTACTCCCCTCTCTAACCACCCGAGCACTACCCTGATGTCTGGATCATCCTGCTGCAGGGACCGCAACCTGGCCTCATCACAGCAGAGAGAGTACACTGGAGAGGAGGGTAACGACTCCCTAGCCTGGTCATGACTATTCACCCCCCCCAACATCAATCACATTCACACAGTCAATGGCAGGAGCTGTTGCATCAGCAGGGCGGCGGGACAACGCATCCGCATTCAAATGCCGAGATCCGTCCTTGTGGATGATGGCCCAATTAAAGGGATCCAACTCCAGGATCCACCGCCCCCGTTTACCAGTAGGGTCATTGTCAATGGACATGCCACGAAGGCCTAGTAGAGGACGATGGTCAGTAACAATAGTGAATGCTGACAGCCCCACATAATGTTTAAACTCGCGCACTGCCCAGACAACCGCCCACAGTTCACGGTCAAAGGTGGACCAGCGTTTCTGGGTGTGAGTGAGGGCTTGACTGGCGTAGGCCACTACATGTTCCAAACCGTCACCCTCCTGCGCCAGTACCGCCCCAACAGCGTCCTTTGATGCATCGGTGTAAACTGTAAAGGGGAGAGAAAAGTCTGGTGACACCACTACAGGGGAGGAGGTCAGACGATGTTTCAAAAAGGTGAATGCTGCCTCACACTCTGGCGTCCATTTAAAAGGGACATTTTTACTGGCCAGATGATTGAGTGGAGCCGCATGCTGGGAAAAGTTCTGCACAAAACGTCTATAATAGGAGCACATGCCCACAAAAGCACGGACCTCAGCAGCAGAGGTCGGTGTCGGCCATGACCTCACTTTATCAGTGTTCCGAGGGTCCGGGCGGAGACCATCTCTAGACACCACATGTCCCAAAAACACTACATGGTCCTTTGCAAAATGAAATTTGCTGCTGTTCAATCTCAGTCCGGCCGAATCTATCTTAGTCAGCACCTCCCCCAAATGGCCAAGATGGTCCTCAAATGTACGACTGAAAATCAAAATGTCGTCCAGATATACGATGCAGGTGTGCCAGGGGAGACCATGCAGGACTAGCTCCATCATACGCTGGAAGGTGGCAGGCGAATTGGACAGGCCCATTGGCATGGCCCGCCACTGGTATATTCCCCTACCAGTCGTGAAGGCGGTCTTTTCACGATCCGCCTCGGCAACTTCCACCTGCCAGTATCCGTTACTGAAACGACTCAAAAGCTCCTGTAATTCAGCCCTCTGTCGCTCGTTGACTGGAGAGTCTGTGACCATACACGGGACAGAAGATTTATGTGAAGTGGGCACTACCGATGGTGCACCAACCTCGTGAATAGGATAAAATTCCCCTATGTGCAGCCCTTGCTTGAGCTCCACTGCTTTCCCAGAGGGATTGAGAACACGCGCAATAGTAACCCCATTCTTCACATTAGCCACGGTGTGAGCTACGACTAAACCAGCCGAATCTGGGACATTTGGTTCCAAGTAGCCCTCAAAGTCAATTACTGGCCTGTTAGCACCACCCGGTGGACGCACATGAACTGGCACTAAAGCCTCACTTAAGGGAGGTATAATCACACCATCGGCCAGAGATACATTGCAGCACTCAGGGACAAGCTGAGCCTGGTAAAGCAAGGGAGGCACGTATCACCGATCTCCAAACCCCCCGCCCCAGGTCGAGTAACGCCCTGTTTACTGCCAGAAAGTCCAACCCCAATAGGACCGCCTGAGTAGACTCCCTCAGCACATGAAAAGTGTGCCGCCCAAGTGAAGAGACACGTCTATAGTGCCCAGTGTGTCTAGTGTCTGTCCATTTACTGGCCGTGAGCCAATAAAGTCCTTCTTTAATGGCCGTCCGCGCAGTGTAGGAACCGCCATACGGAAATCGGAACTAATTAAAGACACAGAAGCCCGAGAGTCAACTAACACTGACGCTTCAACCCCTTCAATGACCCCCCCGGACGTAGGCAGTAGGGTATTTTTCCAACCCCACATCTACATCATCTATGAACATTGGGCCCTCCCGAGGAAAAGCCGGTGTTTGGGCCATAAGATCCTTTGCTCTCTGATCTGTGACCTGTGCCTGGGTGGGCGTTGCTGGGCTCCTGTGGTCTGAGCTCTCAGTGTCCACTCCCGCAGTCCAGTGACCCTGTACAGTGTGTGCCCTTGGTCCTGGAACACAACCTTATAGTCAAATTAAAAACAACAGATATCAGTTTGTGAATGAGATTGTTTTTCTCTCTAAAGTCTAAACAATTTTGGAGCGCTCTTGGCTTTCCAACATGCGCTATATAAATAAAGATTACTTATTATCTTACTAATGATGACATTTTAAGACCAGAAACTCTCTTAATAAAAAACAAGACTCAAATCTCAAAAAACCTTCAAACTTTAAAATATGTATTATGTACTTTTGTACTGTGTGTTTAATTATCTATGAGTTCTTGGGTTTCACTTTATGGACTTTCCCTTTTACACTTGAACATTTATCTCAGCATATATTCTACTAATTTATAATAATTGCAGCATTTTTCAAATAAAGTCAATATGAATTGGAGCACATTTCAGACCAGGCTCCTGTGCTGTGGCATCAGCAGCAGGAGCAAGGTCAGATGCATAGTCAAAACAAAAAAGTCACCGCTTGCAATGTGAATTGGGTGAATTGGGTAGAGTTCAACTCAATATAATACTTTTACAGCTAATCCTAATTCCCTCTTTCTTTTTAGACAAAGTCTATGATCAAAAATCACTTTTAACACAGATTCTAATTTAAATGTTTGAAAAACGGCTTTTGTAACTAAAATAAAAATACATGAAAAAATTCTCACAAACAGCTATGAAATATATCAGAGATACAATAATGGACTCAAAAAATAAGCAGCAGATTTAAAAAGAAAAGCAAAGCTTTTTTGTACTAATCTTTGGATTTCAAAAAACATATACTATTCAAAACTTATTCACTAATGGTGTTTAAAAACGTTTAACTGTGTCATAACACAATGTTCAATTGCAAATTTAGCAAATTTAACGGAATAACAACTATGAAAAGCCAAAATCCTAAAGGCAGGTTTGTTCTGATTCAGAGCCAGAGTAGCGAAGGAGGGGGCCGTTTCCCCTGACAACGGCAGCAAGATAGAGCTGTGCACACATACAGGCAGAAAGTAGTGTTTTAGCAAAAATGCAAATACAGAAAGAAGAAGAACTTTCAAGATTACTTTTTTAAGCGACTATAACTGATGTTGTAGTTTATACTTTTGTCATCCAAGTCTAGAAATGATCACTTTCCACACTCGTAACAAAAGGCACTCTTACTCTTTAATTTCCCTTACGCTTCTATTTTATCGAGGAAGCAAACTAGTTTAAACTCAAAATCTCTTTCTAAAAGAAACAAAAAACAACTGTTGGATACAGCCCGAGCCGCGACAAAAAATGTAAATAACTCACGAAAGCTAAAGCTCAACTTTAGATAAAACTCGGCAAAAAATGTAAATAACTCACGAAAGCTCTCATAGCTCAACTTTAGATAAAACTCTGCATCCTCCGGTGAACTCTGTTCACGCCGAAAACAAACTAAAAAACAAAAACTCCCTTTTTCTGTATGTAATTTAAACCGTGATCACTGAATGTAACATATTGTTGCTTATGTACTTTTGTCATTTATCAAGCCTGGAATTGGTTAATTACAAAACCTTTTGTGACAAAAGGCCTCCTTTACAAGTTTCCCTTTTTTAAAATTGCTTTTATTTTTACACCATGGTTTCACTAATGATCCTACACTTTATCTTTTCTCAAAGGGACTCTAACCCCGAAAACGTTTTCTCAAAGGGACTCTAACCCTGAAGCTTCTTCTCAAAGGGACTCTAACCCCGAGACTTCTTCTCAAAGGGACTCTAACCCCGAGACTTCTTCTCAAAGGGACTCTAACCCCGAGACTTCTTCTCAAAGGGACTCTAACCCCGAGATTTCTTCAAATTCAATTTAGAGAGTTTGACAGACCCCAAAAACAGACCAAATTTTAGCTAGTATCCAATTATACAGACTTTACATATAAAAAGGTGTCTGCTTACCTTATTCTTGTCAAACAGGTACCAAGGACTGTCCGAGAGGTCTGCCAACCTCTTTTCCGCGTCGGAATATTCAATTTAAAAAACAAAAGTGACAGAAGCGACAAGAAGCATCCAGGAACAGCTCTTCCAGCCTGCTGGAATCTCCGTTCCCAGACACAGCATGCCAGTCTCTCACGCAAAGGAAAAGAAAAAAAGAAAACTCCCTCAAAACAATCCAGAGAATGGCGCACACTGAGCCGCACATCCTCCACCAAATCTGTCAGGGATGAAGCAGACAAAGACGGATCGTGGTGCGCCAAACTCTGGAAGTTTATTTAAGTTTCTCTCAAGTTCCACTGGTTTCCTTTGTTTCTTTCTCCCAGACAAAATGGAGTCAGTACACAGTTTATATAGTCATTGTCACGTCACACATCGAAAGACGTACGTGTCACACAGAGACAGTCACATCATAGTCAAAATAATCAGAGTCCTTGTAGAGTCCTGCACGTAGGCCATATTGCTATCTAATACTAACAGCTGTTTCCATTGATGTAAGTGTGTTTTGTCTTGTAACTTCGTACATAACTGGTACGAAGTCAAACCACAGAGCTGGATTATGCAGCCTCAGGAAGTGTCCGAGTCCATAGATGGAAGGATGGATGGATGGATAAATAGATATATAGAAGCAGAAACATATCCATCCCAAACAAAAATCTTTTTGATTTATTCTTTTGATCCTCAGAATTTTGGAATAAAATCGTGGGCCAGATCAAACAAGTTGATCATTAGTGTTCAAAGTTTCTGTTGGAGCTTGAGTAAATTAGCAATCATACTGGGTAACGACAAAACTAGCTTTGTAGATGTAAACTCAAGTTCTCTGCACACATCACATCAACATCTTTCCGGCCAGACGTGAAAATCACCTCAGAGGGGCCTTTTATATTAAGGATATAGTTGAGGAAAAGAATACAACCCAAACACTTTTTCATTCAGTAGCATTAAACAAGATACATCTTCCCGCGAAGATGCCGGGTGCAGGCCCGTCGGAGGGGCTGTGCGACCTGTGCCGTCGCACAGGGCCTTGCAATTTTCCTTCCTTTTTATTTTTTAATAAATACACTAGTTCAAGGGTCAAAGGGTGGACTGCGCTCCAAGTTCGGACCCCTAAACCCCTTTTTCTGGACCTCTGTGATTTATTTTGATCAAAAGTACATTATTATATAAGTAAAGTCAAATTTTCACCAAAAGAGATTTGTAAACAGGCAGGCGCGAGGGCAGCTATGTACGCTGCGGGTCCTCCGAATCAAACTTTACGGAGCTGTCAGATAACTTTAGCAGTGTCTGGGTCTGAGTGAGGAACGAAGAAAGTAACGGGAATGAGCCCAGTGTACGGAGAGATGGATACTTGCGTCTTCTGTGTGAGGAGGAGGAGACAGAGGTGTGTGAGCAGAGGAGGAAGAGGAGGATTAGCGAGACAGGTGTGTGAGCGCTGTTATGGTCAATGTTGAGTCCGAATATCCACTCCAGAAACATATTATAAAAGCATTAGCAAACACTGTATGCTCAGCTTTGCGTCCACTGTGAGTGCAGTGGATTTTGGGCATAAAACCCCTTGTTGTGGTCAGAGTGTGTGGGGAGGAGGAGGAGGAGGAGCGTATGTTGTCAGTGTATGGAGAGGAGGAGGAGGAGGAGCGTATGTTGTCAGTGTGTGGAGGAGGAGGAGGAGGAGCGTATGTTGTCAGTGTGTGGAGAGGAGGAGGAGGAGCGTATGTTGTCAGTGTGTGGAGGAGGAGGAGGAGGAGCGTATGTTGTCAGTGTGTGGAGGAGGAGGAGGAGGAGCGTATGTTGTCAGTGTGTGGAGGAGGAGGAGGAGGAGGAGGAGCGTATGTTGTCAGTGTGTGGAGGAGGAGGAGGAGGAGGAGGAGCGTATGTTGTCAGTGTGTGGAGAGGAGGAGGAGGAGGAGCGTATGTTGTCAGTGTGTGGAGGAGGAGGAGCGTAGGTCAGTGTGTGGAGGAGGAGGAGGAGGGCATATTGGTTGTGGTCAGAGTGTGTGGAGGAGGAGGAGGAAAAGGAGCGTATGTTGTCAGTGTGTGGAGAGGAGGAGGAGGAGGAGCGTATGTTGTCAGTGTGTGGAGGAGGAGGAGGAGGAGGAGCGTATGTTGTCAGTGTGTGGAGGAGGAGGAGCGTATGCTGTCAGTGTGTGGAGAGGAGGAGGAGGGCGTATGTTGTCAGTGTGTGGAGGAGGAGGAGCGTATGTTGTCAGTGTGTGGAGGAGGAGGAGGAGGGGCATATTGGTTGTGGTCAGAGTGTGTGGAGGAGGAGGAGGAAAAGGAGCGTATGTTGCCAGATTGTGTGGAGGAGAAGAGAATGTTGTCAGAGTGTGGAGGCATGGCAAAAACGTTTTTTGATGAGAAAAATGGCCTCATAGAAATTTTGGCGCATTTTGCTGCAATCTAACTATTAGAAAAAGAAGAAGACTCCTTTTGGCTCAATCTTTTGAGTTGCTGCCATTTTGCGAAAGAGCCATGTTAGCTAAAAAGACCTCGACCAATATCGTACTACCAAGCGCCGTAACAGTGTGTGTGTGAGTGTGCGTTTGTTTTTTGGACATATGAGGACTTGTATATGATAACACACCTTCAATATGAGGACTTGAGGAAATATGGGGACTTTTTTCAGGTCCCCATTTTTCCATGCATGCTACAGTGTTGTAGAGACCCAGATGAAGCTCCACACCAAAATTCAATCATGTCCCAAAATATCTACAAATAGTGAAAATGTGCGCCCCTCGTGCACGGAACTACCTTAACACACTTGTCCTCATATGTCACCTATTTTGTCACAAACTTAGGTGGGTAGAATAGCCAAAATAATGACTCAAGCTATTTAAAAAAGATAATTGAGTAGTGAGTAAGTGTTTGTAAAAAAAATAAAAAATAAACAAACAAATGAACTTCCAGCCAGACGGGGCCTTTTGTAGTGGAGCTTGCATATTCTCCTTTTGTCAGTAGATTTTCTCCCTGAAATATGTTCTTAACTCCCGTAGGAAAATCATGTTTAAATTAGGATGTAAAACACCAAAAACGAATATAAAAGTGAGGTGTCAAAAATGACACCCACACTGTATGTTATACTGTAGGTCCTAATATCTCACTCAGACCCGATGTGTTTTTGTAGGACCTTATGTCACTCAGACCTGTCAAGGTCTTCATATTTGGCAATAAAATCATGCGGGAAAAAAGTTTCTTGTAACCAAAATATCAACAGCCAGCTGTGTTACTGATTACACCCTGCTCCCCCCTATGTGATCCTCAGGTCTCCGGGACGTGCAGAAAGGCACGTCCTGATATGTCACAGTGCACACATAGGTCCTCATTTGTCACGCAAATGCGTATGTGTGTGTGTGTGTGTGTGTGTGCGCGCGCGCCGCGGACACACACACACATACTCTTTAGCAACGAGCGTAAGAGCGCTGAGAAATGAATGAATGAGAATGAAGGAATGAAAAGTGTGGCGTATGAGCATAGCGACCACAGACAGTGATGTTACAAGTGTTTGTGTGTGTTCTGGTGATTAAATAATCAGAATCAGAATCAGAATCAGAATCATTTTTATTGCCAACGTAAGTAACAGGAGGTCACAGACTTGGAAATTGCTTTGGCTCAGTGCAACAGTCAAAAAGAGATAATAAAAATAAGAATAAAAAACACTTCTAAAGACTGATTCTTGAATGTCTGAAGTGTTATTGCAATAGCACCACACTGAGAGCGAGGGTCAGGACAGAAGAGAGCTATACCCGTAGGAAACGCTTTTCTTTGGCCTTGCAGAGAGACACTCCCCCAGCGCCCCTCCAGCACAGTACATGGGCTTATATGAAAGGTTTAACACAAGCGGAGAATACAAAAGTGCAGGAGAGACGTGTGTGAAAAGGAGAGTCACAGGAAGACGTAATGTGACGCGCAATATCAAGTCCTCCCCGCACCTCATCCCCCACTCCCCACCACCCGCCACACTGACCCCCCTCATCCGCGCTGGGAAGCGGGCCCTGGCCGCAGTTTTTAACCGGGCCAGAGCACGAGTCCAGGAATCGTGCTCTGGCACGAATGTCGCGGTCAGATGGCACCTAAAGCCCGGATCTAATCCCGAAGCGGGCCCTGGCACACTTTAACCGGGCTTTAGGCTGCGCATGTGACCGCAGCCTTAGGGTGTTTTTATTTTCGGACGTTGTCACAGATGCGAGGCAAAACAAATCTTTAACCGGCTCCTCTGTTTAGAGAAGGTTTGTGTTTCCTCAGAAAACCACACCCACAGGTTATAAATCTTCAACTCGCGGTCTGAGCTTTCATTCCCTTGAAAAAGTTATTTAGATTAAGGACAAAACAACAGGAAAACCTGCTTAGAAGTACAGATGATAGGTGAGAAACCTTACTATGCTTTGACTAATCCCTGTACGACTGAGAGTTTACACAAACTCTTTTGGACAATCCAGCTTCTCCTTTAGCAGGTTAAACTGTGGAACTCTCTCCCCACCGGACTAAAACTACAGACTTCAGCAGAGAGCTCAAACAGTGGTTAAGATCCAGACAGACTTGTGTAAATTATATTGTAATTCTTTAACATTAATTTTATCTTCTGTAATGTAAAAACCCCAGTGGACTAGTGTTGAAAACTAGCACCTGTGCTATAACATACAGCAATGCATCTGGTTCGTCCAATGTTATCGTTATGTCCATATTAAATAAATAAATATAGTATAAGTGCAATAGAATACCGTTGTGTGTCTATGTGTGTTTGTGCGCACATGTACTATATGTGCATTTATGCGCACATTTGTGTGTTTATATCTGCAGAGTGTCGTTCTGTTTAGTCCAGCGAGCCGGTGCCACAATAAACAGACTTTGCTGCTGGCTCCTGGTGCAGGCTCAGTGATAGTATTAGCGATAGCCCACTTTTCTGTGGCTTTTTGGGTTGCACAGCTGGTCTGCTGCTCTGACTATAGACTGTATATATTAACAGACGTAGTCACGTCTATCTCCGCCGTTCTAACTAATGGGCCAAAAATTGGGCTCTCATGGAGTGATTCAAAATGGCAGCGGGGGATGGAAAATGTGAAAAAAACGCATCTGCGCATGCGTCAGTCGGCGCGAGCCCCATTCATTTAAACGAGTGACTTCAACAATTCACAGCGAGTGAACTAGAGTGCTCCAAAAAAATTCACCCCCCTCAGCATTGACACACATGTGGAACAGAGCTTTGGGCCAAGAGCCAACTTTTGTACCATCCTGTAAAGGTGTTTTCGAGAGGTCTGCCAATGCTATATGTTAGCATTGGCTAATTCCTATTTCGGCCACTTTGGAGCCAGGACCCGCTCCCACTGGCTCTGACCCTCCACATGGTCTCTGCTGCCCTGACCCTCCACATGGTCTCTGTCTGCTCTAGAGACACAATTACTGCTCAAACCGCCTCCAAATGAAGCCTGTCCCTGACTGTATTCCTCCTGCCTCCATCGGCTCTGTCTCTCCTGCTCACGGGGCTCAGACAGTGATCTTTGACCAAGACACCGACAGAGCTCTGCTGCCACCTGCTGGCTTAATAAAATACTGTCTACAGCCAAACCCCATACATTTATGATTCAGGGGACACAGACAAAGATGAAAATAGTGGAAAACTATTTATTTTCAATTGAATGAATAATCAGTCAAATATAATGGGTAAAACTGTAAAGTTGGGAAAATAAAGCATTTTGAAGCAGACTGTTCAATATTCAAGCACATTCCAGACCTTAAAAACCCGTCATTGAAACTCGAGCATTTTCCCGACCCCTCACAAATCATCGAGTCTTCTCTCACAGATGAACTGATGTGCAACACCACAATTTTCGTCGTTCCACCTTCCCAGCTGACCCTTATAGATCATTTCAACACAGTCTTCTCCAGTTCCGGTATCGTTTGGCTCGCCTCTCATCCAGAAGCTTAAATACAGAGAATGAAATATGTTATTTATACTGAAGTACTTTGGTTTCATTCATAAAAGTCAGAGTAAACCTCGTAGTGAGCTTTGTGCCGTCCACCCATCTCCAGACTCCTTCCTCCTGCAGGTCACTCAGGCCAATCCACATGCGATCTTTATATATAGAGCTTATGAAGTCCTGTTAAACAGAAGAAGCCGTCAGACATGATCTATCCCTGTATGCAGTCGGGCCATAGCTCCAGACCTTCTCCTGGACACTGGTGATGATGGCCAGGTCGGCTCCTTGATCCTGACAGAACTGTCTGCTCTCAGACCAGTTTCTCTCTGTGGTGGAGCCCAGGTACACACTCCCACTGAAACTAATCCAACCTCCGGACAAGTAACGATCTGAAAGAGAGAAAATTATACATATAAATATTTTTAGATACACTGTTACTTTCGCCTTCGTCCCGTGCAGACGTGTCCTGGGCCACTCTTGCTCTGACCACTCTGACCACTTTTTGTCTTTTCCTGGAGGTCTCCCATCACAGTACTAACCAGGCCCTGCCCTGCTAAGATTGCGAGGGCTGATGAGATCTGGCTTTCACCTGCAGGTGGCGCTGCAATAGACATTCACTTCTGTTTTTGGCAAAAGTCTAAACCATGTATATTTATGTAAACAACGGTTTTTGTCTCCTCTGTGTTATTTTTATTGTGAAAAGAAAAGAGAGAGGAAGAGAAGAGGCGACCTGTTGTTGAGACGAGCTCATTTACATCTTAAATGTACTCCCATCCTCAGTTACAGTTACTACAGCAGCAGGATTACCTATGCTCTGGAGTCTTTGCTTCTGTCGGTCCCTTTCCTCAGTCAGTTCACGTTTTGTGGTTTCAAAGGCTGCAAAGATATGTTTAGTGCCATGAATAATCATTTTCACACTGTATTGAAGAAAGTCCATTGTTCACTGTCACATGTTGGAATGTTCTCTTTTCTATCAAAGGTTTCTGACAGGATCGTGTTCTATGAGACATGGAAGATTATGGAACAATGAGGTGAACTAGAAATGGTACAATGGCTGAAGCCATTGTGAGTGGCTGCATAGATGTTGTAAGGGTTAGGGATGAAGAAGGAAGAGGAAGAAGAAGATGAAGAAGGAGGTGAAGAAGATGAAGGAGGAAGAAGAGGGAGAAGAAGAAGATGAAAGTGAAGAAGAAGGAGGAAGAAGAAGATGAAGAAAGAAGAATATGTTGTAAAGTGCTGTAAGCGTTGGAAAGTGCTGTAAGTGTTGTAATGTATTGTATCTGTGGTAATGAATTGTGAAGCCTAGTTTATACTCGCGCGGCACGGAGGTGACGTGACGTCACTTGCGCAACGCGTTGGTCACCGCAAGGCCCTTACGTTGCCTGCCGCACAGCATTGAAATTTTCTAACTACGTAAGGGTTGCCGCAAGGAAGCTCCGCTGTGATTGATCCCTGTGTGTGCAGTGGAAGGAAGCATGAAGCGGCTGCAGGGAACATGGACGAGGCACTATGGAGCAGACTGCTTCACGCTTTGAAGAAACCAAAAGAAAAGTAGTTTGGGCTCATGGCAGAGGCGTATATACGCGGAGACTGTGGACTAGAGTTCTGTTGCATATCTAACATATATATAACTTATAAACTGAGCAGTCGTTTCTTTTGCACTGTTCCTGTCTTTGTTTGAATCGTAGCTTATCGTGTCTGTTCCATTGCCTCAGATATTTACCACTTTTTGCATGCTGTTTGTGATGAATACAATTTAATAATAACTATGTTTCCAACAAGAACTGTATCTATATTCACAAATTAACAGTTAAATGAGTTAAGAAATAATGAGTCCATAGAACTATCACATAAACCTACAGTAGAAACACATGTAATGATCTCAAACAGCTTTGATTTTGTTCATGTTTTTGTTCTGAAGAGGAGAAAATAGCAGCGTAAATGAGACCGCTTTAGTTTCTCATGCAACTCCTGTGAGATCGCCATCGTGTGGTAGGTTGTGCGATTACAACATTCTCCTCAAAACTCTGCAAGGAGTATAAATTAAATTCTGCTTGCGGAGGTCCGCCGCAACCGCTAACGTAAGCAGCGCCGCGCAAGTATACACTAGGCTTTAGTGTGGTAATGTGTTGTATGGGGAGTAATCTTTGACACATTTCAACCAGTCTGGGAAGGAAAGCCTCAGTGTGTTAATATTTACTGTCTGTGGTTGGGGGCTTTATATGTCCATCACTAAGTAACTGTAATGGAGTACAGTTACTCAAAAAGAGTATTCTGAATACATTCTGTTACCCCCCCAACACTGCCTGAACCCCACCCTTTTGGACTCGCCGGAACAACTCATCTGCTGCGTTCTGGGACTTCCCACGTCACAAATGAAGCACCGCTGAGGCGGGTGAAAGTGATCACATGAATACAGTATAAATACACATGTGGTGTTTTTCAGCCCTCAACACGTGTCAGAGATCTCTGTCCCTCAAAATCCGTGAACTGGAGGAAAAGATTTTGTGTTAGTGACATCTGGAAGAAAGACAGTACAGACAAATATTCAATTCACTGTATTTTTGTATCGCCCTAAACCACAACAGTAGTTATCTCAGACTTTACAAAGCTGTCGATTCTCCAACACAGATCAGAGAATCAAACATAAGAACATGATAAAAACACATAGAACCATTGGTCCATGAGGGGCAGAGACCAACATCTATAAATGTTGACAGTTGTTCATAAACCATTGTTAGACCTCATATAGTGCGGGGCGACTTGGTGCGGGGCGGCTTGGTGCGGGGCGGCTTGAGAAGCCTTTGAGCGAGTTAGGGTGGCGGTGCAAAACATTCAATAAAAAGGGTGAAATAAGGTCAATTTTTTTGGTGTTGGTTGCATTTCTTGGTATGTACTTGACAGGCCCAATAAGAAAGCAACATCTCAAGATATCAATCAGCAAAGAAAAGAAAAATTAGGAGGGAATGAGTCTTCGAAATTATATTTAATTCAATGTATTTTTTGACAACTGTTGTTTAAGGTGGTTGATTTGACAGCAACAGATCAGAGAATCAAATAGTTTAACGTAGGAAATGCAATACATACACATGGGAGAGAGATGACCTTCAATGCCCTGGATCATCACTGTCCTTGGACCACTGTCTCCAAACCGGACCCCTCTAGTCCCAGGCTGCGAAATTCTGTTCCTAAAAACAATGGGCCTCATTCACCAATATCTTCTTAAGAATCTTCTTAAATTTCTTGTCAAGTTGTTCTTAAGTAGATTTCTAAGAAGACCCTACGTGGGATTCATCAACCCACTCGTAAGCCGCTGAATTGTTCACAGCTGTTCTCTTATATTGATGAATGCCAACTCCTCGTAAGTAGAGCGCGCGTGCCCGGTGCTTCATTAGCATAGGTATTTAGCATAGGTAACCTCCCATTAATGCCCATAAAAGGGACTGCAGGGCCGTGTGCAGACGCCAGAGAAAACAGCAACAGGCCTAAAGCAAAAAGTTACACGGAGCAAAAGAGTCACCCTTCTTTCTTCTTTTGTCAGACTGAGAATAAAGTCATACATTTTTGACTGTAAAGTCGAAATATTATGAGAATAAAGTCAAACTAGAAAAATTATGAGATCAATATATAATTAAAGCCGCAAGCGGCGTCAAACGGCCCTCGCCGCACCGCCCCGCACCAAGTGGATCTACACCACCCCGCCCCGCGCCGCTCCACAACGCCCCTCACTACGCCGCACCGCGCGCACCACCCCGCACCAAGCCGCCCCGCACCAAGCCGCCCCGCACCAAGCCGCCCCGCATCAAACCGCTCCGCACCAAGCCGCCCCGCATCAAACCGCTCCGCACCAAGCCGCCCCGCACCAAGCCGCCCCGCACCAAGCCGCCCCGCACCAAGCCGCCCCGCACCAAGCCGCCCCGCATCAAACCGCTCCGCACCAAGCCGCCCCGCACCAAGTCGCCCCGCACCAAGCCGCCCCGCATCAAACCGCTCCGCACCAAGCCGCCCCGCACCAAGTCGCCCCGCATCAAGCCGCCCCGCATCAAACCGCCCCGCACCAAGCCGCCCCGCACCAAGTCCGCCCCGCACCAAGCCGCCCCGCACCAAGCCGCCCCGCACCAAGTCGCCCCGCACCAAGCCGCCCCGCACCAAGCCGCCCCGCACCAAGTCGCCCCGCACCAAGCCGCCCCGCACCAAGCCGCCCCGCATCAAACCGCTCCGCACCAAGTCGCCCCGCACCAAGCCGCCCGCACCAAGCCGCCCCGCACCAAGCCGCCCCGCACCAAGCCGCCCCGCATCAAACCGCTCCGCACCATTCGCCCGCACAACCCCGCACCAAGCCGCCCCGCACCAAGCCGCCCCGCACCAAGCCGCCCCGCATCAAACCGCTCCGCACCATGTCGCCCCGCACCAAGCCGCCCCGCACCAAGTCGCCCCGCACCAAGTCGCCCCGCACCAAGCCGCCCGCACCAAGCCGCCCCGCACCAAGCCCCCGCACCAAGCCGCCCCACCAAGCCGCCCCGCACCAAGCCGCCCCGCACCAAGTCGCCCCCGCACCAAGCCGCCCCGCACCAAGCCCCCGCACCAAGCCGCCCCGCACCAACCGCCCGCATCAAACCGCTCCGCACCAAGCCGCCCCGCACCAAGCCGCCCCGCACCAAGCCGCCCCGCACCAAGCCGCCCCGCACCAAGCCGCCCCGCACCAAGCCGCCCCGCATCAAACCGCCCCGCACCAAGCCGCCCCGCACCAAGCCGCCCCGCACCAAGCCGCCCCGCACCAAGTCGCCCCGCACCAAGCCGCCCCGCACCAAGTCGCCCCGCACCAAGCCGCCCCGCACCAAGCCGTCCCGCACCAAGTCGCCTCGCACCAAATCGCCCCGCACCAAGTCGCCCCGCACCAAGCCGCCCCGCACCAAGCCGCCCCGCACCACGCTGCGAAAGTATTCGGCCCCCTTGAACCTTTCAACATTTTGCCACATTTCAGGCTTCAAACATAAAGATATAAAAATTAATTTTTTTTGTCAAGAATCAACAACAAGTGGGACACAATTGTGAAGTGGAACGAAATTTATTGGATAATTTAAACTTTTTTAACAAATAAAAAACTGAAAAGTGGGGCGTGCAATATTATTTGGCCCCCTTGCGCTAACACTTTGTTGCGCCACCTTTTGCTGCAATTACAGCTGCAAGTCACTTGGGGTATGTCTCTATCAGTTTTGCACATCGAGAGACTGGAATTCTTGCCCATTCTTCCTTGCAAAACAGCTCGAGCTCAGTGAGGTTGGATGGAGAGCGTTTGTGAACAGCAGTCTTCAGCTCTTTCCACAGATTCTCGATTGGATTCAGGTCTGGACTTTGACTTGGCCATTCTAACACCTGGATACGTCTATTTGTGAACCATTCCATTGTAGATTTGGCTTTATGTTTTAGATCATTGTCCTGTTGGAAGATAAATCTCCGTCCCAGTCTCAGGTCTTTTGCAGACTCCAACGGGTTTTCTTCCAGAATGGTCCTGTATTTGGCTCCATCCATCTTCCCATCAATTTTAGCCATCTTCCCTGTCCCTGCTGAAGAAAAGCAGGCCCAAACCATGATGCTACCACCACCATGTTTGACAGTGGGGATGGTGTGTTCAGGGTGATGAGCTGTGTTGCTTTTACGCCAAACATATCGTTTTGCATTGTGGCCAAAAAGTTCGATTTTGGTTTCATCTGACCAGAGCACCTTCTTCCACATGTTTGGTGTGTCTCCCAGGTGGCTTGTGGCAAACTTTAAACAAGACTTTTGGATATCTTTGAGAAATGGCTTTCTTCTTGCCACTCTTCCATAAAGGCCAGATTTGTGCAGTGCACGACGGACAGACTCTCCCACCTCAGCTGTAGTTATCTGCAGTTCATCCAGAGTGATCATGGGCCTCTTGTCTGCATCTCTGATCAGTCTTCTCCTTGTTTGAGATGAAAGTTTGGGGGGACGGCCGGGTCTTGGTTTTTTTGCAGATTTGCAGTGGTCTGATACTCCTTCCATTTCAATATAATTGCTTGCACAGTGTTCCTTGAGATGTTTAAAGCTTGGGAAATCTTTTTGTATCCAAATCCGGCTTTAAACTTCTCCACAACAGTATCTCGGACCTGCCTGTGTTCCTTTGTCTTCATGGTTCTCTCTGCGCTTTAAACAGAACCCTGAGACTATCAAAGAGCAGGTGCATTTATACGGAGACTTGATTACACACAGGTGCATTCTATTTATCATCATCAGTCATTTAGGACAACATTGGATCATTCAAAGATCCTCACTGAACTTCTGGAGTGAGTTTGCTGCACTGAAAGTAAAGGGGCCAAGAATATTGCACGCCCCACTTTTCAGTTTTTTATTTGTTAGAAAAGTTTAAATTATCCAATAAATTTTGTTCCACTTCACGATTGTGTCCCACTTGTTGTTGATTCATGACAAAAAATTAAAATTTTATATCTTTTTGTTTGAAGCCTGAAATGTGGCGAAATGTTGAAAGGTTGAAGGGGGCCGAATACTTTCGCAAGGCACTGTATCTGTTAGCCAATCACTGCATTTCATTTTGTGACGTCATCACGCCACGTGACGTAGTAGAACGTATCACGCATTCTAGTGGCTGTCAGCAGACTGCTGTCTGGGCTGAAACTGTAGGAGGTTTCACTGTCATCTGAACAAGGTATAAACATATTTTCATCAGTTTTTTACATAATAGTGGGCAACTCTTTTAACCTTTTAGCCTTATTTGTAAGATTCAAGCTAATTAGTGTTGGGCAAGTTAGCTAACTCTACTTGATATCATAAAACATGCTAACAAGGCTAATATTCGTTTTTACATTATGCCAGTCTCACTTTGGTTGCCTTAGATTTATTTACCACAATGTACATTGTAATATTCAAAAATGCTAATCAAAATAACTTGAATTAAATAAATATTTTACTTTTATGAACAAAAAGCTGCAGAAGTTGAAAACAGACTACATTTGATGCAATCATTGATAAAAATGCTAATCAAATAAATAGCTAATCAAAGCTGAGGGATCCCTCAGCTTTGGGGTTCCCAAGTTGTGGGTCCTGGACTTTGGATCTTTTGAAATATGTTTAATGATGATTGAGGGTTATTTTGACTGCTGCATTGAATCATTGTTGCTATTGTACTTTTACTACTAAATGGCCATTCACATGATCTATACTTGGTGTACACTGTAAATGTTTTGCATTTTTTCTTATCTTTATTACTAAATACATGGTACCTGCAAAAAGTTATTCCGTCTCCTGTCCACTCCCTCCTAGAGCCGGAACTAGACTTCTGTTACTCGCCCAGACTTCCAATTGTGTTACCTGGTTACTTAGACTTACATTCATTCAACATTTAATCAGGCCACAGGCTACAGAACAATGGCATATACTGTATACTGCTTCTGCAGGAGGTTACAGGTCCGCTCTGAGTCTCCGCGCTGGTCTCTCCCAATCTATTACAAGTCCGAGCTGGTCTCCTCTCGTGTTCGCGTGGCAGGATCAGGCGGGCGGCCCCGCCGTGCAGGGCGGGCCAACTCCACATCCTCGTCCCGGAGCACATGAGCAGGCTTCAAGCGGTCCACCGTGACCCGATCTCGGCCAGCACCGATCTCAACCAAAAAATACTGGTCCCCCGTCTCCATCACCCGGAACACGCCATCGTAAGGCGCATGCAAGGGAGAACAGTGTGCGTCATAACGTACAAAAACATATCTGGCCGACATAAGGTCCTTAGGAACATGGGCCTGAGGCATACAGTGGTGCGCCACGACCGGTCTGAAAGCTCCTGCCGGGGAAAAAGGCAGTGTAGCCACCCTCGGAACCAGGCCAGGGGCGGTATGCAGGAACTCCCCCGGGATCCCTCAGTGTCTGTCCCAGAACCAACTCAGCAGAGGAGGAGCGCAGATCCTCCTTGGGGGCGGAGCGTAAACCCAACAAAACCCACGGAAACCTGTCCACCCAGCTATTGTCCACCAGAGAGGCCCATAGGGCACCTTTCATAGTCCGGTGAATCCTCTCGCACAACCCGTTAGCCTGCGGATGATAGGCCGTGGTCCGGTGAAGTTTAACCCCCAAGCTCCCAGCCACTGAAGTCCACAGCTCCGAGGTGAACTGGGGGCCCCTATCAGAAGTCAGGTCCAGAGGAACCCCAAACCGCGCCACCCACGAATAAATAAAAGCCCGGGCCACGTCTGCCGAAGTAGTAGACGACAGGGGCACTACCTCCGGCCATCGAGTCGTCCTGTCCACCATGGTCAGGAGGTGAGTGAACCCCCGGGAAGTGGGAAGAGGGCCCACCAAGTCCACACGGACATGTTCAAAACGTCTCTCGGGAATTGAAAAAGGACCCAAGGGAGCTTTAACGTGACGCTGCACCTTGGCCCTCTGGCAGGTGTAAGGTAATAAAATGCACTGCACCCGCGATGACCCAGGCAAGCCGGCCAAGCCAGTTGTGTGTGAGATAACAAAAACACACGGCTCGGAACATCTAAGGCGATGGAGGTCGGATAGAGCACCACAATGGCTCACATAGATACAGCAGTCATCTCAAAGACAGTGATCGTCCCCAGAGCACACCTCTGGCCCCCACCCCCGGCGAGTTCAAAGGGGGCCAGTGGGTCTGCATCGCCTCAAACAAAGCCATAGACATCACCCATGGGCCGGCAATCCGGCAACGGCGTTCCACCACCCCCCCAGTGGACACGGGACGCCAATACACCTGAGACGGACAACTGAAACCACGGATGAATATGTTGTTTTGCCTTTTGTTTTGTCTTAAATCAGAAAACGTGTGTACCATTGTCTGTGAACAAGGTGTGTTGTGTGTCTATGTCTAAGTAACGTGTATGTGGTTAAAACTATGATTTCATGAAAGGAGTTCTGGAGGCGCGGAAAGTTGTTATCATGTCATAAGACACGCCCCCAAAACAGAGACAGCAACTTTTCGTGTGTTAACTTTTGCTTGTGAACCTTTTGGGAACTCTCTTTGAAACTTTCTCTGGGCCACTCCCCTGCGCGATCCAGGGGCCCACAACTTCAACCCAGGCGCAGGTTGGAGCTCGCTGCCTGGACAGCTGCCCGATCCTTTTCCCTATCGAGCTGAACTCGACTTGCCTGTCCCGCAGCGGCGTAACTGCTCTCCAACTCCCACCAAAATGGAGCACCGTGGACCATCGCGCCTCAAGCCACCTCTCGGCTTCCCGGGACCGATCCCCGCTCCCTGCTCCCGTGTGTGGGAAAGACTGGAGTGTGTGTGCGCCCGCTCTCCGTGCCTGAGGAAGACTGAAGTGTTTGACCGCCTGACCCAAACGGGTAGAAAGCATCTTCACCTCTGGGACTTGGCAGTAACAGTAAGACTTGCTGGAGTTGTATTGTGTGTGAAGGTGATGTGTTTCTGACATTCCTGTTCATGTGACTTATCATACTTGTGTGATCCCTCCCGGTTACCGTTCCCGTTTCTATATGTAGTTAATAAACCCACGCTAACTTTTAAGAGTCGTCAGTGTTCTTTGTATAATTCATGATATCCCTGGCCGATATAGAACTCAAGACCCATCAGATTATGAGACTGATCGAGGCAGAATGGACTAGTTCAATTGCAACTTCTTGCTGGTGCCCCTCTTACTTAAAATTTAGATCCATTCAACCCGGAGTAGGCGAGGTTTAGGACTACGTTTGCGACGTTTAATACCGACACAAACTGATACAAAGCCTCCCCTCTCCACATTCACTTTCTTACCCTACACAGGCCACGCTTGTGTAGGCCCAAGTCTTGACGTCCTTTTTGAGGCCGGGCCACACAAACTTTGCGCTCACCAACTTCACCGTCGCTTTCACACCGGGGTGAGACAGGTAGTGTACAGCCTCGAAAATGCGGGCGCGCCAGGCCGCAGGTACCAAAGGACGTGGTCTGCTCATGGACACACAGAAGCGTCGCCCCGCTGTCCTGAAAAACCACATCTTCCAACCTCAAACGAGAGCCAGTGGTGCGCAGCGCTTGCACCTTCGAATCCGCCAGCTGGTCCACCGCCATCTCTGCATAGTCAATGCCTAACTGAACCGTGGAAACCTGAGCCCGAGAGAGACAGTCCGCTACTGCATTGTCCTTCCCTGCAACATGTCGAATATCCCAAGTAAACTCAGAAATAGCAGAAAGCTGCCTTTGTTGCCGCGCCGACCATGGTTCAGAGGTTTTGGCCATTGCAAATATTAGGGGCTTTTGATCCACATAAGCAGCAAACTCTCGGCCCTCCAGAAGAAACCTGAAGTGGCGTGTGGCAAGAAAAAAGGCCAAGAGCTCCCTGTCAAACGCACTGTACTTCCTCTCTGACTCTCGCAACCTTCTACTGAAAAAGGCTAGTGGCCGCCAGGCACCATCTGACCACTGCTCCACCACTGCCCCCACCGCGCAATCAGACGCATTGGTAGTAAGCGCGACAGGTGCAGTAGGATCGGGGTGCGTTAACAGCGCAGCCTCCGCCAGTGCAGTTTTAGCCAGGTCAAACGCCAACACCCTTTCCGGGGACCACTCAGACATTCCATGTCTCTCCATGTTGGCAAACTCCTTTTTAGCAACCAACAATTTTGCCGTATCTAAACGGTGCGCACGAGCGAAAACTGGCGGGCCCACGGTAGTGATGTAATGCTCCACCCCGTGCTTAGCTACTGCCGCAGTAAGGGCAGGAAACTCTGCTAACAGACGCTGGTACGCGTCACCACTGACATCTAGTGGACAAATGTCATCACTGCAGCTTCTGAACAGCAGTAGTTAATTCCATGGAATAGACTGTTAATTCATGTTCCAAACGGGGTTTACAAAATCACACCATTTCATCTTCTCACATAACTATGACAAGAGAGCGATCCTTGTCAAGAGGGAGTGGTCTGTGAGAGGGGGCGGGGCAGAAGGCTGTGTCAACGAGAGGGGGCGGGGCAGTCTAGGCAACATGTCAATCGGACTGACCACTTCTACGCAGAAAGTGACATCATCTGACCACGCCCACTCAAGGAGTGACATCAGGGTAAGCACTAGATCATATACAGAATAGGGACGAAACCGGAAGTAACAATCCTACTTTTGAATTAGTTTTTGACTAATAAGTCCTTAAGTGGTGAATGGTTAAGTTTTAGGTGTCTGAGTAAGAGGGTTAAGGTTAGGGTTAAGGGTGGGTTGGGGTTATTTTATTGGAATGGCTGGTTAAGTTTAGGCATGAATAGGTAGTTTGTTATATTTACTTCCACTTCCATCCCGATTCCGAATATGATCTAGTGCTGACCGTGACATTGGCTGCCACTTCCTGATGTCAAACACCCAGGGAGTCCCATCAGGTGAATAATGACAGGTCACTGAGGCGGTGACAGTGACGCTCGCAGCTCTCAGTCAGTTCATCTGTAACAGTCGTTGTCTCTGAAGAATCCTAAACAGTATAAAGTCAAAAACAACTAAAGGAACATTCTTTCACATGTTTATTTGTCTTAAGTTACGCACACGCAGAACTTCTCTCTATCTCACGGCTCTAACTAAAAATAAAAATGGTGAAATAAGGTGTTGGTTGCGTTTCTTGGAGTATGTACTTGATAGGGCCAGTGAGAAAGCAACATCTGAATTCAATGTATTTTTTCACAACTGTTGTTCTAAAGTGATTCATCAAATGTTTGTGTATAGAATAATATTTACGTTTGCCAAGGTCTTCCTTCTCTGCGGTCACATCGGTGCAATCGCTCGTGTTGATCTTGTTTGAAGGGAAGTCTAGGGAATGAAAACAATGACACAAGTTACTGCTGTTAAACTTGTTCTGGACTTGATATGAATCCACTCACAGAGACGCAGGAAGACGTTGAGAGACGCTTGTGTGATGAACAGAAGTCCCAGACTGATGCCGACCACCGCAGTCAATCCCCCTTCAAACACAAGGCTGTGTCAACGATCTGTTCCAGATTTTAGCTGTATCCATGCTCACACACACTGCCCAAGGATTGTCAAGAATTCCAGCCGGAGGTTGGTTCATACGGTGCTAACATGGTACTTTGGTGCGAGACCATGAGAGACCTGAGACCAGGACCAGCAGGAGAGGACTTCTGGTTCTGGTCACAACCGTTTTACAGTTTTGGAGGAGCACAGGGACAGGCCTCCTGCTGGGACTCTGAGGGGCACAGGGACTGGCTTCCTGTTGGGACTCTGAGGAGCACAGGGACTGGCCTCATGCTGGTCCCAGAGTCAGGACTAAACATGTGGAGGCAGTGTTTCAGATTTATGTCTTCCTGAAAATTTTAGACAGGCTTCTGACAATCCAGGTTAAAACAGTTCTGTTTAGCTCCAACTGAGGTAATGTGGTCCCTTTTTTATTTTAGGGCTTACGTTCTAAAAATTACCCTGCAATAAGTGAAATCCAGTTGTTGAAGCAGTTTGTTTTAAGGCTGTAAAACCACATCGAACGATTGGGTCAAAAAGCATTTGACCCAATCCCTCATGTGCTTTTTTCTAATTCACCTCAAGTCAAAGTATTTGTTTATAGCTACATCACAACAGCAGTCGTCTCAGAGGACTTTACAAAGTTGTCAATTGAGCAACGACAGATCAGAGAATCAAACAGAGCACAGGAAATGCAATAATAACAAACTCATAGAGACATTGGTCCATAGGGAGCGGGACGAGCACCTCCCTCACTGTCCTCAGAGCCTCCTGCGTCTGAGGAACCACTCACAAACACAAAGAGGTGCAACGTCTGGAGTTGGCTGGATGATACTGTGAACTTTATGATCTCAAAGACTTTGTGTTATTGACAAAGATCTGCATTAAATGACAGATATTTTACTTTGTTTGTTTGAGACAGAGTTTGTAAATGAACACTGTGGTGGAAAAAAACTATCAATAATATTAATTTTAACAAAAGAAACTAAAAAATACTCAACACAAACTCAACACAGAGTATTTGTGTTCATTAAGACTCACTGGCACCATGTCCCGATATGAAACCAGGTGTGTTTGAGGCTCTTAGATCCTCAAAGCTCGAGGGAGAGGAGAAAACTGCAAACTGGAGTTTAGCTCCTCTGCAGCTTGGATTCACTTTTTATACAATTTTGATGTTTGACGTTCTTTACTTTCATAAATCACACAAAGACACTTGTTTGCTTCGGTTCATTAGAAATGCAGCCGCATCAACACACCACTCCAGATTGTGGTCACACAAACACACACTCATGCACCTGGAACGATTGAACATGGTTTTAGTGGGAGCACCTAGAGGAAACCCACGCAGACCCAGGGAGAACATGCAAACTCCACACAGAGAGGCCCCGTCTGGAGGTGGATTCAAACCCAGGACCTTCTCGCTTCAGCCTAAAGCTTTAGATTGAGGTGGTAACCAGCTGCTAATGTCACACCTTGTTTCATGTGAGAGTGAGACGGACAGAGCTCACCTGGTCCTGAGTCTGAGCTGGTGCGCCTCCTGTAGGAGGCTCTGGGCTCCTCCATCGTGACCCTTAGGCTCCTCTGCTCCTCCTGCTGGGACCTCTGGGCTCCTCTGCTCCTCCTGCTGGGACCTCTGGGCTCCTCTGCTCCTCCTGCTGGGACCTCTGGGCTCCTCTGCTCCTCCTGCTGGGACCTCTGGGCTCCTCTGCAGACGTGAGGACAGATCTCGTCCTTAAGAGGAGGCGAGTGAGAGCCTCCTTCCTCTTTAGTGTCTGACTTGTTCCTCTTTGTTATAAATCGATAAATAGTGGTTATGATCTATAAATTCAATTTTATTAAGTTGAGACAAATCGTCAGAGGTTGTCTAAACCAAAAAACAACAACAGCAGAAGTCAAAAATAACTTCAAATTAGGCAGTCAGACTTTAGTTCAGCCCTCACTTATTTGTGCATAATGGCCCCTCATTTATGAAACTTGCGCAGAAAAAGGTGTACATTTTGGGTGTAGATTCCAGATACGCAAGATCCGACGTGGCATTTATGAGCGTGTGAGATACGCACAGATTCAAGCGTACGCACCTGCTGCTGTTTAATAAATGCCGCGCACGAAACCAGCGTGATTATTAAAGTCACGGCCATAAACATTCAGAAACTGCCTGTTTCACGCCCTGTTTTTGTGTCAGGTCAGCAGGAAGTCAGCTAAGAAGACTGGTTTGGAGCCTTTGCCACGCACTTCTGAGTTTATTCACGTTTAAAAAAACATATATATATATATATATATTTTATATATTACGTTCTATTATATATACGCGTTTTTCCCTCGTGTCTAGACCCACTGCAGCACTCATCTCTCCTGAAATTTAGAAGTAAATAAATAAATATTGAATGAATGAACTATACTGCCCGTGAGCCAGTTCCCACATGCACGTTGCATCCTATCTCTGCTGCGGAGAACAGGGCAGTGGATGAGCAGTTTTGAGCAAGATCAAGTGCGTTTATGGGGCTTCATGCACAAAACTAAGGAAAACCCACATTGCTTTGCCAGAGGTGAATGAGGCAAAACATATGTGTAATTACGTAGACGGCGCAAGGTCTGGTTAGTGAGTAAACGGCAAAGGAAAAATAACTTCACGGAGCAGGAGATTGAGACCATTGTGAACAAAGTGGGAAAAAGAAAAAAGTCTTACTATTTGGAATTCTCAAAAGTGGCATCAAGGGGCTCAAAAAAAAAAAAAAAGGAAATAGATGACAGCATCTAAACAGCGTGGGGCCTGCAACACGCACTCCTGAAGAGGTGAGTTTATTTATGTTTGAAGAAATATACGCTATATTATATCAAACAGTTGATATATTGGGCCAATAGTAAGAATTCATTAACTCATTGACCGCCATTGACGTGTTAACACGTCAATTGCGTGTCCCGCTATTTTCACGTTCCCAGATGTCTATTGTTTCTAATATGTATGGGGATTGGCTTGAGGCAATATTTTATCGAGCCAGCAGGTGGCAGCATTTCTCTCTGAATGGTTTGAAAACAGCTAGATGCACATGTGGGACTTTGGCACTGCCAAAGCTCTTTGCTAGCAATGAACAGAGGATGTGTTTTTAAAAGTAAACACACAGTTAGCATCTGAGCTAAAGGCTTTTTGAGCAGTATTTAAGACCTACAAATCCAGAGATCATCATCATCATCTTCTGAAGCGCTGACAGGTCACCGAGGGCCCCACGCATCTGCAGCACAGTGGAGGCGTCACAAGAGGCGCTACAGGAGTCCCGGCCTCCGTTGTGTGTAACTTCTACAGAGGGACTGTAGAGAGCATCCTGACCAGCTCCATCACTGGGTGGCACGGCACCAGCACTGCCTCCTGCCGAAGGAGCTTCCAGCGCATCGTGAGAGCAGCAGAGAAGATCTGTGGAGCTCCTCTCCCCACCATTAAGGACATGTACTCCACCCGTCTCACCCGCAAAGCCGTCAGGATCACCAGGGACCCTACGCACCCAACACACAGGCTCTTCAGGGTAATGCCTTCAGGGAGGAGACTGCAGAATTTACGGAACAGTTTCAGTCGACTTAAAAACAGTTTCATTCACAAGGCCATCAGGAAGCTGAACTCCCTGCCCTCCCTACCGCCTTTAATCTTGCCAGAGTGGGAATATGTTTATTTTTGTCCAACTCTTGCATTTCATGCGTGTTTTGGCGTGTTGTAATTAAGGTTGAAATGAGCGTACACATTTACACCATGTTACGGGCCAGCCCGTTAGTGTCCAGGAGAGGGTGCTGTATGTGTTGGCCTGCCTTCTCTGCCGCCTCCTCCTCTGTGCAGGTCCACACCTGCACCATGCCACGCCTCCTCATCAATGGACCTTCTTCAGCTGGGAGCTGAGAGCTGCTCACTCTCTCCGGCACTGCTGTCTTGTTTGGTCCTGCCCTGGTGCTCATTCCTTTGTTGCACATTTGAGTTTGTCTTTTGGTTTATGCACCACATTCACTACACACCACACACCGGCTTTCATTGCACTCACACACCTGCACCACACTACTGATTACAACATGCTCACACCTCATACCTTGGTTTTGTTAATGTCATACTCGCCTTTTGTTATTATTAAATATACTTGTTGCACTTTTTACCCCCGTTTCGCCTCCCTATTTGTTGTGGCCCTGAGCCGGCCGTAACAAGTTGGGGGCTCATCCTAAAAACCCACATTTGTTTGAGGTAAATATCATTTTGTGTTATCAGTGATATTTTTTGTATCTGGTTTTGTTTGAGAGCGCTTTTGTTTAGTCTTGTGTCAGCTCTTGTTTGTTTGTTGGTTAAGTGCCATTTTGAATTGAGCTGTACCTGGAGTTTGGTGTGACGGGCTCAGTGGGGGTTTTCCCAGTGACGTCATTTTGTTAGTGCGCTTTGTGGGAGACGTGCGGGAGGTATTGTTTGGTCTTCAGGATTTTGTGCTGTTTGAGAGCAGGTAAAAAACTTCATCCTAGTTTGGTCAGCCGTGGCTGTTTGTAAAGACCCAGAAGGTAAGTGGATAAATTGTAATGTGTGTTAAAAGTTAAAGTTGAGGAATCCCAGGTAGGCTTAGCGGTGTTTCCCAACAGTGGGTTCACTGTATTTTTTTGGGGGGGGCTTTAGTGTGGAAGTTAAGAGCGGGTCGTAGCTTCCATTTCCCCTTTTCCCTACATCGGCTCGGGAGCGCGCCGTGGTCACTTGATTGCCAGCTTGGTCGTCTTGTGTACCATCGGTATCTGGCGCATAAAAACCCATCGCCACGCTTCCCGAAGACTAGGGTTTGAGGTAGTAAGATTTTCGGTAGGTAGTTAGCGGGGTATCCTTGACTTTATAGGGCACATTGGTGGTTTATCACTTAAGCTTCTGGGGGGTTTTTTTGTGATCATGGATGATGTGGTTGAGGAATTTCTGGAGGAACCATGTGAGAGTGATTTGAAGCTCTGCACTAAAAGGCAGTTAATTGCGATTGCAGAGTTTTACAAAGTTTTTATTGGGGATTCAACTGTCTTGAGGAGTGTTCTTGAGGACAATTTGAAGAAAATATTATTTGGAATGGGCATTTTGGTTTCACCGGTGGGTTTAACTTTTGAGCAGCAGAAAGAACTACTGTTGGTCCAAGTAGAGGCAGAGAGAGAACGTGAGATAATGAGGCAGGAGGTTGAATTGGCTACACTTGACATCGAGCGGCAGAAACTCTATTTAAAGAGACAGGAGATGCAGTGTAGTCCTAGAACTGAACATACAAAGGAGGAACTTAGTGACTTGAAGCTTGTTCCACGTTTCAACGGAGGGGGTCCGGAAACTAAAGCTTTGCAGTTCACAGGCTCTGAGTTTCCAGTTATGGGAATGGCTTTAAAAGTAATGGAGGTTCCATGTGATACAGTTCTGAGTTGTGATTTTGTCCAGGGTGGGGAGTCTATGGGAGTGCACCCAGCATTGCCAGTAGATGGCGCCACTGTGATCTTGGGCAATGATATTGCAGGTAGCCGGGTCTGGGCTGATGTACCTCCTCCAGTCCAGGTGTCTGATTCGCCTATGGTATGTAGTAACCCTGAAATTGAGAGGCAGTTTCCGGAGGGAGTTACTGTTTGTATGGGTACACGTCCCACGAGTGGGATCTGAAAGTGAGGAAGATCTTTCTGGCAATGAATTCCCTGTGCCGGTTCTTCCTTGGTCAATGACACCTGACGACCTGGTGGAAGAGGAAAATTGTGTTTGTGTTCCTTTTTTTTTTTTTCTCTTTTTTTTTTTTTTTTTTTTATTTAACACCATGTGATACAGATTCCATAAAAAACATAAATTACTATGTACAACATAGTAGTGCAGAATATATTGGTGGGGGAGGGAAGGGGGAGTGGGGGGGGGGCCATTTTTAAGGCATCCAGAGCATGAAACAAAGAAAACAAAATACTTAATAAAAAAACTAAATAACAAGCAAGTACTGTCGTGGAAATATGTAGGTTCTAATGTGTAAGTGTGGGTGTTAATGTATTTGAGTGCTTGTGTATATGTATAAATGTGTGACCATATGTGTCTGAAGAGGAAATAGAAAAACAGAACAATAACAGTAAATAAAGCGAAAAAAAAAAAAAAAATAAAATAAAATAAAAAATAAAAAACAAAAAAAATAAAATGAGTGCTGCCACTTGCTGTCTCCACAGATCCCAGTAACGTATTTTGGCTGTTTATGTGACAATATATTGATTTGCTTATTTTGTATTATTATTATTATTTGTATTATATATATATATATATATATATATATATTTTTTTTTTTCCCTTTTTTTCTCTTCTTTTGTGCGCGTCTAGTGCATTAAAAACATGCACCTGCTGTTGCTGGAGGGGTCTCCTCCAGCAACAGCAGGGCCACCTCCTTGTTTAATCTTGTGTGTATTGTATGTGTGTGTTGAGCGTGGCTTATGTTATGCATTAAAAATCCAGGGGTCTGTGGGAGGTCTGCGCTCCAGGGGAGTCACCCCTAGAGCGCATGCCTCCCCTCCTGAATGGCCTGATCTAGTAGGTGTGAGTCTGTTGTTGGTTTTAATCATTTTTTCAGTTTTGGTTTGGTAAAAAGAGGTTGGTTACTGTGGTGACAGGGTTAGCAGCATAATACTGATGGTGTTAGGATTCTCTCTGTGTGTGTGTGTGTGTGCACTTGTTTTCAACTCCTGGTGGGTTCCATAACCTGAGATTCCACTCACGTCATGGGGACTGGTTTTACGTGGTGGGGCCCGAACACCGGACCCCACTGGTCCAAGCTTAATAATCAATGGGTAATGCTTTTCTAACGGTCCTTATGCAGTCTCTGTAAAAATATGGAAAGGACGCCTGGAGGTTTACTTTCCTGAAAAAAGTGTGTTATGTGTCGGAACCCTGGTGGTGGGTTGCGGGATATCAAGGAGGGGCACACTGGGGCAATTTCAGTCCAGCAGGCTGGAGCCAATCATGGAGCAGCACAACAGAGGAAATCAGGTGTCAGGCTAGAAAAAGGTGCAAGTGTGTGGTTCATTAGGCTGCAAGAAATCATGGAGGAGCACACTGAAGCGCACGCTTACAAACCACTGGTAAGTGCTGACTACAAGTCATGACTTCAAATTGTTATATAGAATGATTACAAATTATTTGTTGTTTGTGCAGCTTAGTCAAGAGTCCCTAATTGATGAAGTCGACTCAGATTCTGACGATTTAACTGTCAAGAAGAAACCTGTAAAAAAGTATGGAAAAAGAAAAATCAAAAACACTTTTCTTCAAGACTCGGAAAGTGACGAACCAAAGGCAAATAAGATTGTTATCATGCAGCTGCAAAAGAAGAAAAATGGGGGGCGAGTATACAGCAAGAGACACTTCTGCCTCTACTGTTCAATGTCCCTGCCACAAAATGTCCCGTCATTTGACTAGAAAACATGGAAATGAAAGTGACGTAGCCAGAGCATTGGCTCTACCTGTGAAATCTAAAGCACGTAAACTTCAGTTTGATTTGATCAGGAATAGTGGAAACCGTGAGCACAATTTTGAGGTTTTAAAGGCCGGCATTGGAACTTTAGTCCCAGCTAAACAGCCAAATTCCCCAGTTAAATCCAGTGAGTTTTTGCACTGTATAGACTGTGGGGCATTGCTTAAGCGAAAGTCGCTGTGGAGGCATGTGGCCAGGTGCCGGCTTTCACAGAAAGATGCCCAGGCTAAACCAGGTAGAAGTAGGGTCCAGTCCCTCTGCTCCCTAGCCCAGCCTGTACCGGAGGGCATCAGCAAAAAGCTGTGGTCTTTAATTTCGGCAATGCATCAGGATGAGGTCACGGGTGTTGTCAAAGCAGAAAAGGGGATTCTGAGACTCGGAGAGCACCTGTACTTAAAACACGGGCATGATAAGACAAAGCATGATTACATTAGGCAGAAAATGAGAGAAGTCGGTAGGTTAATTAACGAAGCAAAAACCGCAGGGAAACTGAAAACAATTAAGGATTTCTTTATTCCTTCCAACTTTAACCATGTGATTGATGCAGTCAGGTCTGTGGCTGGATATGATGAGGAAACAAATCAATACAAGACTCCATCCTTGGCCCTCAAACTCGGCCATAGCCTCAGAAAGCTAGCAGATATTCTTGAATGTGACTCAAAAATGGAGCATTGTGTTGATGAACTATTTATTAAAAACCTCCAACGAAGCCGGCTGCTTTTTGAGAAGAGGTGGGACGTCTGTGTTTCTTCTGCTGCCCTACAGACCCTCCGGCAAGCCAAGTGGAACACTCCGGACCTGCTCCCTCTGACTGAGGACGTTAGAGCCATGCATGCACATATTGAGGTATGTCGACCTGAATATGTGCAAACCCTAATAAGTGAGCCAACGTCTAAGCATTGGTCTAAACTGGCAGTTTTGACTCTTTGTGAGGTCATCATTTTCAATCGAAGAAGGGAAGGTGAGGTTTCAAAGATGCCACTGACAGCCTTTACCTTAAGAAGTAAGACTGGGATCCATTCTGACATTGCTCTGGGACTGTCCCAACTTGAGAAAAAGCTGTGTCAGCATTTTCAACGCATTGAAATTAAAGGGAAAAGAAGTCGGAAAGTGCCGGTTCTTTTGACTCCTGAAATGATTGCTTCGATGGAGGTGCTGGTGGAGAACAGAAGGGCCTGTTCCATCTCTGACCATAACCCATACTTCTTTTCCCGCCCGGGCGCAGACACCCACATCAGGGGATCAGACTCCCTACGCCAGGTAGCCAAAGAATGTGGTGCGGTGCATCCAGAGATGCTATCCTCAACCAAACTTAGAAAGCACATAGCTACTATGTCTACAGTTCTCAATATGAAAGAGAATGAGATGGACATACTTGCCAACTTCCTCGGCCATGACATTCGCATCCACAGGCAATATTACAGACTACCAGAGGGGACACTGGAGCTGGCCAAAATCAGCAAAGTGTTGATGGCCATGGAGCAGGGAAGAGTGACGGAATTCGAAGGAAAGAGCCTCGACCAGATACAAATTGAGCCTGAAGGTAATTCTTGATATTATTAAAATATGTATGATTTTTTTCCCCTAAAGGCCACTTGTATTTTTATTTTCTGTGCGACAGGGAGAGCAGTAGAGATCCTCTCACAAACGGACGGGCTAAAAGAAACTTCAAGCGGAGAACCTTCAACCATTCATCCAGATGCACCCCATGGTAGTGGCAGTGCCCCTTCTGGTAAGTGTACCAGGTGGGGGATTACAGCCAGGCTGCTTGGTCCTCACCCTGGGAGTGTATATTGCTAATATATTTTTTTTTCTCTCCCTAGAACGTGTAAGAAAGCCATGGTCTGCATCTGAGGTGAAGGCTGTGGAGAAGACCATGACACCTTTCATACAGACTGGAAAGGTCCCTGGGAAGTCTCACTGCCTGGCCTGCATTAATGCCTCACCAGATGACCTTAGACATCGGACATGGAGTGGCATTAAATTCTATGTCAAAAATAGAATCACTGCAATTCGAAAACAAAATCTAAAATAAAATTCCTTTAAAATAGTTGTTTGGTTTCTATTGACTGTTTTGTATTACTCAAAGTCTTGGTAAAAAAAGATTATGTCTATGGGTCCCATTCTGAACGGCCCTGTCAAAGGGACCCACCAGGTAACAAAAACGTGTATGTGTGTGTGTGTGTGTGTGTGTGTGTGTGCGCGCGCGCGCAGGGACTTCCAAACACTAGTGATTAGTATATGGTGATATTGAGGTATTTGATGAAGGGTGACCAAGTTTCTGTGAAGGACAGTACGTTATCATCCTGAGATGATGGGTGATGTGTGGTGATGTGATGAGTGAGGGAGTTGATCCAGTGGTTGATGCTTATTGAGTTTTTGGTTTTCCAGTTTAGTAAGATTATCCTCTTGGCGATAGCTAGAGATGTCAGAAGGCATTTTGTGTATCTGGTAGGTATGGGGCTGGTAGAGGTGGCGCTCAATAGACACAGAGATGGGGAGAGCGGGACTCTGCAGCTCAGGATGTCAGAGAGTTTTATAGAGTGACTGTGTGCCAAAAGGATTGAACTGGTGTGCATTCCCACAGTGCATGTATGTATGTGTCTGTGGAGCCCATTGTGCATTGAGTGCATGTGCTTGTGTCTGTTAGTCCCATTTTATGCTTTTTGTGTTCAGTTATATGTGTTCTGTGAATAATCCTGTATTGTATCATTTGTAAATTGGTGTTTGGTGTCATGGAGAAGGTGTTGGTGCATATTTCTGTCCAGAATTCGGGTGTGATGGGTGAATTAATGTCCAGGTTCCATTTTTCTTTTGGGGTGTGTATTGTTTGGTCTGTATTCAAGAAGTTGTGTAGTTTGGATATTAATTTTTTCATAGTTTTAATGTTTTTTATATTTTCAATGAGTTGGGGTGCAGTTAAGGGGTTGTGTTGTATGTTAATCTTGCCTTTGATTATGGATTTGTGTTTGTGTTCCTAACGATGTTTCAGTGGCAGTTCTTCCATCTTCAGTGACACTCGACGTCCTGGTGGTGGAGCAGAACTCTTTAGCTTTGGAGCGATCAGTGGGAGATCCTGTGCACCCGGAGGTGGGTTCCTTAAAACGTTGTGATCCTGTGTTACAGAGCTGTCATGACCAGAGCAGCCATAGTGGGGTCAGGAACACTTGTGGCCATAGCTGTTTATTTTCGTCTGTCATTCCACTGTCAGGTCTAGAGCTACATGCCAAAGTGACGATCGGCTCTAAGGTCTTTGTGACGAGTCCTATTCAGAGAGCTGGCTTTGATGCTAAGTCACGACGCTTGTGGCATCCTGGGGAAGGGAAGCTGCTGGAGAGGGGAGGCCAGTGTGTTGTGGTTGTGCTGTTCCTTCTCACTCTGGCAGGGCTTCGTGGTATTTGCTGGTGCCAAGCTCGGATGAGGCAGCTGGAGACTACGGGGACTGGTCTGGAAGCTGGTGCCAGGTCCGTTCTGGTGGAAGCGTGGGTGCTTCAGCCCACCGTGCAAGCGACACTGGGACGGCACGGTGGAGACCCCAAGTCCCAGGGCCAACTGTATTTTGGAGGTACAGTGCTTGACACCACTTAAAGTTTCTTCCAAACGTTTGACAGGCCCAGTTGCCCTGTGGCTGGAACATCCTTTGAGCTGCTAAGAGTACGTTTTCTAGTTTACTCTGGGGCTTATGAAGGGCCCGGTTGGGTCCCTTTCTTGTAGGGGGGGGGTGTTACGGGCCAGCCCGTTAGTGTCCAGGAGAGGGTGCTGTATGTGTTGGCCTGCCTTCTCTGCCGCCTCCTCCTCTGTGCAGGTCCACACCTGCACCATGCCACGCCTCCTCATCAATGGACCTTCTTCAGCTGGGAGCTGAGAGCTGCTCACTCTCTCCGGCACTGCTGTCTTGTTTGGTCCTGCCCTGGTGCTCATTCCTTTGTTGCACATTTGAGTTTGTCTTTTGGTTTATGCACCACATTCACTACACACCACACACCGGCTTTCATTGCACTCACACACCTGCACCACACTACTGATTACAACATGCTCACACCTCATACCTTGGTTTTGTTAATGTCATACTCGCCTTTTGTTATTATTAAATTTACTTGTTGCACTTTTTACCCCCGTTTCGCCTCCCTATTTGTTGTGGCCCTGAGCCGGCCGTAACACACCACCTATTGACTTGGTGGAAATTCTGTGCGTACCGTACGCTCACGTCCAGATTGATAAATGCAGAAAAGTGCACATATTTTGCGTACGCCTCATTTACACCCTGATTTGGCCGTACGCAAGTTTCATACATGAGGCCCAATGTGTGGTTACTTGGCTCAAAGTTGGTATTTATGAATCACTCATTAGTCCTGATTCTATGGATTATTCAACATTAACTACTCACTGACAGTTTGTGGGTTAGGGTTCATTCATTAGCACTAAATGATCTTTTATTTTAAAAAATACATCTGCTGGCAACAGCAGATGTATTTTGAACTTCATAAGCCACAAGCTATATATCATTTTAAAGTGTTAAATAATGTTATTATAGCGCTGTTACTCCCTATCTACTTTGCTTGTTATTTTGAAGATGCTACAGGATGTAGTCATGTTTTTGTAATGCTAACTTCCTGTGTGTGTGTGTGTGCGTGCTCACAGCCACGGCTACAGTTCCCTGCCGCATTGTTCTATAATAAATATGCCAAGACAAGAGGCTAAAGTTACCGAAGTGAGAGCATCGTTTATTCTTCACTAGCCATCTCCTCGACCTGCACTCCTTATCAGGTTATGGGCCCAGGCACCAAGACACCGGTCTCACAGGCAACGTAGAGACGACGAACGGAAAAGGCTGCTGTGGAAAAAAAAGGAGGAGGCTTAGCTGCCATTTTTAGAGACCACTTTGTCTCCCATAGAATGTCTCTTGGGAAGTTTTCGTCATTTGAATATGTGTCTTTTAAAATACAACAAAAACAATCTCCTCCAATACTCTTCGTTGTCCTATACAAGCCACCGCAGTCATGTCACAGTTTTATTGATAATTTTACCGAGTTGCTTTCAGTTGTATGCACAGATTTTGATAGTTTGGTTATTACAGGTGATTTTAATATTCATGTGGATAATGTTGATGACAGAAATGCAAATGAGCTGAGTTCTGTACTTGAATCCTTTGATCTCACTCAGCACGTAAGTGGCCCCACCCACAGCAGAGGGCACACTCTAGATCTGTTAGTTACAAAGGGGGTGATTATTTCAAATGTAAACGTGGTCGATGTTGCTCTTTCGGATCATTTCTGTGTTTTTTTTGACATGTGTTTCACTAACAAACCACCAGTGGACTCTGCAACTGTTCGAAGAAGGCGCATAAATGAAAATACGAGTGAACTATTTATGGAAATGATAAACTTTGAGAATGCATCGTATTCTACTGTAGATGAACTGTTTAACTCTGTCACCTCTAGTGTTTTGAATGTTCTGGATACCGTTGCCCCTGTGAAGGTTAAAATAGTGAAAAATAAGCAGAAGGCGCCGTGGGCTAAAGCAGACTCGGTCAGGGCACAAAAGAGAAAGTGCCGGTGGGCCGAGCGAAAGTGGCGCAAGTCCAACCTCCAGGTAGATTACGAGATCTTCAAAGATAAGTTGTGCGAGTTTAACCGGGTGCTACGTAGTACGAGAGAAAGGTATTTTTCTGAAATGATTGAAGGTTGCAGCAACAATCTGCGTGTTCTGTTCTCAACAGTTAATAGATTAACAAACCCCCCTGTTCAAATGCCATTAGAGCTTACTTCCAAACGTAAATGCAATGAGTTTGCTAATTTTTTCAATGACAAGGTTCAAGGCATCAAAAACGCCATTGTCTCCAATCCACAGATAACCATCCAACAGCCAGAAAGGCTCTCTGAGCTAACTCACTTTGCACCTGTAAATGATAAAACTGTCCAAGAGATAATCTCCAGTTTGAGCTCCTCCACATGCAGCTTGGATGTACTACCCACTAGATTTCTGAAGTCTGTTCTGAGCAGTCTGTTACCTTCACTCACACAGATAGTAAACATGTCCCTTCATTCTGGAATATTCCCAAAGGCCCTGAAAACTGCAGTCATCAGGCCCCTGCTAAAAAAGAGCAGTCTCGATGCTACGGTACTTAACAACTATCGTCCCATCTCAAATCTGCCATTTATGGGGAAAGTCCTTGAGAAAGTTGTCTACCTACAGCTTACTAGATTTCTTATAATCAACAACTCATTTGATATGTTTCAGTCCGGCTTTAGACCCCACCACAGCACTGAGACTGCTCTCGTTAAGGTTACAAACGATATCCGGCTGAACACTGACGCAGGCAAAGTCTCAATCTTAATCTTGTTAGATCTAAGTGCTGCCTTTGACACCGTCGACCATGAGATCCTCTTACAGAGACTAGAGTAGTAAGTAAGTAAGTAAGTAAGTTTTTATTTATATACCGCCTTTTCACTGCAGAGGACTGGGTTGGCGTCACTGGCACCGCCCTAAGTTGGTTTAGGTCTTACCTTGAAGACAGGAAGTACTTTGTGGAGATTGGAAACTGTGTCTCAGATCATATGGCCCTGACCTGTGGAGTCCCACAGGGGTCGATCCTGGGACCTCTTCTGTTCAATCTCTACATGCTGCCGTTAGGTCAGTTAATACGCAGAAACAAAGTTTCCTATCATAACTATGCAGACGACACTCAGATCTATGTCTCACTGACTGCAGGAGAACATGGACCAGTGGACTCACTCCTTCACTGTATCCAACAGATCAGTGAGTGGATGCAAAACAACTTCCTTCAGCTAAACGCAGACAAAACTGAAATGATTGTCTTTGGTCCCCAGAAACAAAGCGAGAGCGTCATCTGTCACCTACAGTCTCTCTCCCTAAAACCTTCAAACAAGGTCAGAAATCTAGGGGTAATACTGGACTCAGACTTAAATTTTAATAGCCACATCAAATCAGTAACATCAGCAGCTTTTTACCATCTAAAAAACATTGCCAGGATCAAAAACATAGTGTCTAAAGCAGACCTGGAGATTCTTATCCATGCATTTGTCTCCAGTAGGTTAGACTACTGCAATGGCCTGCTCACAGGTCTGTCCAAACAGGCTGTAAAACAGCTGCAGTACATTCAAAATGCAGCAGCTCGAGTCCTGACTAGAACCAGGAAGTACGACCACATTAGTCCAGTTCTCAGGTCTCTGCACTGGCTTCCTGTGGCTCAGAGAATAGACTTTAAAACAGCTTTGCTTGTGTACAAGTCTCTCCATAGCCTCGCACCAAAATATATTAGTGACATGTTAGTCCCATGAACCAGCCGGACTCTGAGGAGCACAGGGACTGGACTCCTGCTGGGACTCTGAGGAGCACAGGGACTGGACTCCTGCTGGGACTCTGAGGAGCACAGGGACTGGACTCCTGCTGGGACTCTGAGGAGCACAGGGACTGGACTCCTGCTGGGACTCTGAGGAGCACAGGGACTGGCTCCTGCTGGGACTCTGAGGAGCACAGGGACTGGACTCCTGCTGGGACTCTGAGGAGATCAGCGCGGGACTGGTGCTATGAGCATTGGGTGGCAGCTCTCATTGCCACCCCCCCGACCCAGAAATGGACAAATAAAGGGGTTGAAAATGAAATGAAAAAAAATGAAAAAAAAAATGAAATGAAATGTTAGTCCCATATGAACCAGCCCGGACTCTGAGGAGCACAGGGACTGGACTCCTGTTAGTGCCCAGAGTCAGAACTAAACATGGGGAGGCTGCTTTTCAGATTCATGCTGCTAAAATCTGGAACAGTCTTCCTGAAGATGTGAGACAGGCCTCCTCTCTGACAATGTTTAAAACCAGGTTAAAGACAGTTCGGTTTAGCTGTGCTACAACTGAGGGATTTTATATTTTTATCTTTCTTTTTAATGTTCTGTGATAATTTATGATTTTAATGCTTTCTTGTTTTGTTCAGCACTTTGAATTGCCTTGTGTATGAATTGTGCTATATAAATAAACTTGCCTTGCCTTGCCTTGCCTTGCCTTGCCATGTGACCATGGCAGTAAGGTGCTTGGTAAAGTGCTTGGTGCTTACCTTAGCAGTGAACACAGCCTGCCTGGCCTCTGGGATCATGTGACCATGGCAGTAAGGTGCTTGGTAAAGTGCTTGGTGCTTACCTTAGCGGTGAACACAGCCTGCCTGGCCTCTGGGATCATGTAAAGTGCTTGGTAAAGTGCTTGGTAAAGTGCTTGGTGCTTACCTTAGCAGTGAACACAGCCTGCCTGGCCTCTGGGATCATGTGACCATGTGGGTAAAGTGCTTGGTAAAGTGCTTGGTGCTTACCTTAGCGGTGAACACAGCCTGCCTGGCCTCTGGGATCATGTAAAGTGCTTGGTAAAGTGCTTGGTGCTTACCTTAGCAGTGAACACAGCCTGCCTGGCCTCTGGGATCATGTGACCATGGCAGTAAGGTGCTTGGTAAAGTGCTTGGTAAAGTGCTTGGTGCTTACCTTAGCAGTGAACACAGCCTGCCTGGCCTCTGGGATCATGTGACCATGGCAGTAAGGTGCTTGGTAAAGTGCTTGGTGCTTACCTTAGCGGTGAACACAGCCTGCCTGGCCTCTGGGATCATGTAAAGTGCTTGGTAAAGTGCTTGGTGCTTACCTTAGCAGTGAACACAGCCTGCCTGGCCTCTGGGATCATGTAAAGTGCTTGGTAAAGTGCTTGGTGCTTACCTTAGCGGTGAACACAGCCTGCCTGGCCTCTGGGATCATGTGACCATGGCAGTAAGGTGCTTGGTAAAGTGCTTGGTAAAGTGCTTGGTGCTTACCTTAGCAGTGAACACAGCCTGCCTGGCCTCTGGGATCATGTAAAGTGCTTGGTAAAGTGCTTGGTAAAGTGCTTGGTGCTTACCTTAGCGGTGAACACAGCCTGCCTGGCCTCTGGGATCATGTGACCATGGCAGTAAGGTGCTTGGTAAAGTGCTTGGTAAAGTGCTTGGTAAAGTGCTTGGTGCTTACCTTAGCAGTGAACACAGCCTGCCTGGCCTCTGGGATCATGTACAGCTGTTGGATGGTAGAGGCTAAATAACAGGTGGCTCCCAGGTTAGTGAGCCCCACGAAGCGGCACTCTGCTCGGACATCATCATGAGGCCAGTAGTCCCACTTGTACGGGGCGTGGGAGGCTGAGGGGGAGAGGGGGAGAGAGGGGGTGAGAGAGAGGGGGGAGAGAGGGGGAGTGGGGAGGCGAGGGGGGAGAGGGAGATGGGGAAGGGGGTGGGAGAGAGGAGGTGGGGGAGGAGAAAGGGAGGAGAAAAGAAGGAGAGGGGGAGGAGAAGGTGAGTGGTCTGGTCTCAGTCAGCAAGTGCTGGTCCAGTCCAGTCCCCACTTTGCAGATCCAGTCCAGTCCAGTCCAGTCCAGTCCAGTGCCGTCCAGTCCTCACTCTGCAGTTCCAGTCCTCACTCTGCAGGTCCAGTCCAGTCCAGTCCTCACTCTGCAGGTCCAGTCCAGTCCAGTCCTCACTCTGCAGGTCCAGTCCAGTCCAGTCCTCACTCTGCAGGTCCAGTCCAGTCCAGTCCGGTCCTCACTCTGCAGGTGCTGGGCCATGACCCAGTTGTGCAGCAGACGGTAGTTGTCTCCGGAGCCTCGGACAGTCTCCACCAGGAGGTCGTAGGCCGCGGCCCGGGCAGAGTGGCTCTTGCACTTGGGCTGGGAGCGGTCGGACAGAGAGGGCAGCAGGAAGAGCAGGTTATGGACGTCACGCAGGAACTCCTGCCCTTCACGGGAGAACTTAAACTGGGGCTTATGCTTCAGGACGCTGGTGGACAACCTCAGGAGACCAGTGAGACCATCATCCTCCACCACACCATCCTGCTGGTCCAGGATCTCACGGCTGGAAGAGAGACCAGAGACAAGAGATCAGAGACCAGAGAGAGACCAGAGAGAGACCAGAGAGAGACCAGAGAGAGACCAGAGACCAGAGAGAGAGACCAGAGACAAGAGATCAGAGACCAGAGAGAGACCAGAGAGAGACCAGAGAGAGAGACCAGAGAGAGAGACCAGAGACAAGAGATCAGAGACCAGAGAGAGACCAGAGAGAGACCAGAGAGAGAGACCAGAGAGAGAGACCAGAGACAAGAGATCAGAGACCAGAGAGAGAGACCAGAGAGAGAGACCAGAGACAAGAGATCAGAGACCAGAGAGACCAGAGACCAGAGAGAGAGACCAGAGAGAGACCAGGGAGAGACCAGAGAGAGACCAGAGAGAGACCAGAGAGAGAGACCAGAGACCAGAGAGAGACCAGAGAGAGAGACCAGAGAGAGGACCAGAGAGAGAGACCAGAGAGAGAGACCAGAGAGAGACCAGAGACCAGAGAGAGAGACCAGAGAGAGAGACCAGAGAGAGACCAGAGAGAGACCAGAGAGAGACCAGAGAGAGAGACCAGAGAGAGAGACCAGAGAGAGAGACCAGAGAGAGACCAGAGACCAGAGAGAGAGACCAGAGAGAGACCAGAGAGAGAGACCATAGAGGGAGCAGAGAGACAGAGAGAGACCAGGGAGAGAGACCAGAGAGAGAGAGACCAGAGAGAGACCAGAGACCAGAGAGAGAGACCAGAGAGAGACCAGAGAGAGAGACCAGAGAGAGACCAGAGAGAGACCAGGGAGAGAGACCAGAGAGAGAGACCAGAGAGAGACCAGAGAGAGACCAGAGAGAAACCAGAGAGAGACCAGAGAGAGAGACCAGAGAGAGACCAGAGAGACCATCATCCTCCACCACACCATCCTGCTGGTCCAGGATCTCACGGCTGGAAGAGAGACCAGAGACAAGAGACCAGAGAGAGACCAGAGAGAGACCAGAGAGAGACCAGAGAGAGACCAGAGAGACCAGAGAGAGACCAGAGAGAGAGACCAGAGACAAGAGATCAGAGACCAGAGAGAGACCAGAGAGAGACCAGAGAGACCAGAGAGACCAGAGAGAGACCAGAGAGAGAGACCAGAGACAAGAGAGAGAGATCAGACCAGAGAGAGAGACCAGAGAGAGACCAGAGAGAGACCAGAGAGACCAGAGAGAGACCAGAGAGAGAGACCAGAGAGAGGGACCAGAGAGAGAGACCAGAGAGAGAGACCAGAGAGAGAGACCAGAGAGAGGGACCAGAGAGAGAGACCAGAGAGAGAGACCAGAGAGAGACCAGAGAGAGACCAGAGACAGAGACCAGAGAGAGAGACCAGAGAGTGAGACCAGAGAGAGAGACCAGAGAGAGGGACCAGAGAGAGAGACCAGAGAGAGAGACCAGAGAGAACCAGAGAGAGACCAGAGAGAGAGACCAGAGAGAGAGACCAGAGAGAGAGACCAGAGAGAGACCAGAGAGAAACCAGAGAGAGACCAGAGAGAGAGACCAGAGAGAGAGACCAGAGAGAGACCCCAGAGAGAGACCAGAGAGACCAGAGAGAGAGACCAGAGAGACCAGAGAGAGACCAGAGAGAGACCAGAGAGAGACCAGAGAGAGACCAGAGAGACCGACCAGAGAGAGACCAGAGAGAGACCAGAAGAGAGACCAGAGAGAGACCACAGAGAGAGACCAGAGAGAGACCAGAGAGAGAGACCAGAGAGAGAGACCAGAGAGAGACCAGAGAGAGATACCAGTGAGACACCAGAGAAAAACCAGAGAGAGACCAGAGAGACCAGAGAGAGACCAGAGAGAGGCCAGGGAGAGAGACCAGAGAGAGAGAGACCAGAGAGAGAGACCAGAGAGAGACCAGAGAGAGAGACCAAAGACTAAAGAGAGGGACCAGAGAATAAAAAGAGAGACCAGAAACGAGAGGGAGACCAGAAAGAGACTAAAGACTAAAGAGAGAGACTGAGACCAGAGAGAGAGACCAGAGAGAGACCAGAGAGAGACCAGAGAGAGAGACCAGAGAGAGACCAGAGAGAGACCAGAGAGAGACCAGAGAGAGACCAGAGAGAGACCAGAGAGACACCAGAGAGAGACCAGAGAGAGACCAGAGAAAGCTTTGAACGGACTGGCCCCTCCTTACATCTCGGACCTCATTTAAATTTACCCTCCGCCCCACGCTGAGGTCTGAGGCCCAGCTCCAGCTCGTGGGGCCTAAGACCAGACTTAAAACCCGGAGGAACAGGGCCTTCTCTGGGGCTGGACCAAAGCTCTGGAACCCTCTGCCCCCCCCCCCCCCCCACGTTAAAACAGCTGCTCTTTGGAATGTTTTAAGTCTCGTCTTAAGACACATTTTTACGTCTCTGGCTTTTAACACCGCGTGAGTCGTGTGGTCCTCTTTTTATTTCATTTATTTATTTTATTGTTTTACATTTATTTATGTCTATAGTTAATTGCTTTATTTAAATTGTTCTTTACTTTATTTTCATTATTTTTATTTAAAGCAGACTTGTATATTTTAATCTGTTACTTTTATCTGTGCAGCACTTTGGAAACGTGTTTTATAAAATAAAGTCGATTGGATTATCTCAGGGTCTTGTTCACGAGTGAGAGAAGGATGGAGCAGGAGGGGTCTTGTTCACGAGTGAGAGAAGGATGGAGCAGGAGGGGTCTTGTTCACGAGTGAGAGAAGGATGGAGCAGGAGGGGTCTTGTTCACGAGTGAGAGAAGGATGGAGCAGGAGGGGTCTTGTTCACGAGTGAGAGAAGGATGGAGCAGGAGGGGTCTTGTTCACGAGTGAGAGAAGGATGGAGCAGGAGGGGTCTTGTTCACGAGTGAGAGAAGGATGGAGCAGGAGGGGTCTTGTTCACGAGTGAGAGAAGGATGGAGCAGGAGGGGTCTTGTTCACGAGTGAGAGAAGGATGGAGCAGGAGGGGTCTTGTTCACGAGTGAGAGAAGGATGGAGCAGGAGGGGTCTTGTTCACGAGTGAGAGAAGGATGGAGCAGGAGGGGTCTTGTTCACGAGTGAGAGAAGGATGGAGCAGGAGATTGAAGGTGGATCGCTGCAGTGATGCGGTCGCTGTATCAGACCGTTGTGGTAAAGAGGGGAGGAGCGTCTGCAGTCAGAGCTCCCTAACCTATGGTCATGAGGGAGCAGCGTCTGCAGTCAGAGCTCCCTCACCTATGGTCATGAGGGAGCAGCGTCTGCAGTCAGAGCTCCCTCACCTATGGTCATGAGGGAGCAGCGTCTGCAGTCAGAGCTCCCTCACCTATGGTCATGAGGGAGCAGCGTCTGCAGTCAGAGCTCCCTCACCAATGGTCATGAGGGAGCAGCGTCTGCAGTCAGAGCTCCCTCACCAATGGTCATGAGGGAGCAGCGTCTGCAGTCAGAGCTCCCTCACCAATGGTCATGAGGGAGCAGCGTCTGCAGTCAGAGCTCCCTCACCTATGGTCATGAGCTTTGAGATTGCGGATGAAAGCGGTCGAAATGAGCTTCCTCCGCAGAGTGGCTGCTCCCTTAGAGATAGGGTGAGGAGCTCAGTCACACGGGAGGAGCTCGGAGTAGAGCCGCTGCTTCTCCACGTCGAGAGGAACCAGTTGAGGTGGCTCGGGCATCTGTTACGGATGCCTCTCTGGGTCAAATTTCTCAAAAACTGTTGAATAAAATCATATTTTACTGTAACTATAATGATCAAAGTGATTTAAAACGTTTACATTACAATTAAATGTCTTTTTCTCAAGGCTATAATCATCCATTTTCATGTTCTTAAAGTATTTAGTAGTAAGTCAGTATGCAGAAGTATGAAACAGTCTTAATGGTTCTTCTTTTTTATAAATCCTTGTTTGTTTAAAGAGTTCCCAGTGAAATATATCATGTATGAGACAAACACTGACAACACTGTTAGAACAGACGCAAATATCATGAAACAAAGTGACTCTGGTTCTGATTCCAGCCTCTACAACATGGACCCACGAGGATCTGGCCCCGGGTCTAAACCCAGACCTGGACCCAGACCTGGACCTGCTCCCAGCTCTCAGTCTCTGAAAAGTGACTGGTCCAAAGGTTTTCCTCCAGACTTCAGAGAAGATGGTCCTGAAGATCAGAGGTGAGACTTGAACCCATGTTGTTAAGACAGTGCTGTGTCTCGTCCTTCATCAAAGACTGTGGTTCTGTGGCACTTTGTAAATAAACAGCATGAATGTAGAATCTACTGAAGACAGCAGGAGCGGGTCTTCACACTGAGGGAAAGAGAAGCTTCTGAGTCCATGACTCCAGCTCTGGCTCCGCTGCACTGGCTTCCTCTTCAGAGACCAGAGAGAGACCAGAGAGAGACCAGAGAGAGACCAGAGAGAGACCAGAGAGAGACCAGAGGGAGACCAGAGGGAGACCAGAGAGGGACCAGAGAGACCAGAGAGAGAGACCAGGGAGAAACCAGAGAGAGACCAGAGAGAGACCAGAGGGAGACCAGAGAGAGACCAGAGGGAGACCAGAGAGAGACCAGAGGGAGACCAGAGAGAGATCAGAGAGACCAGAGAGAGACCAGAGAGAGACCAGAGAGAGACCAGAGAGAGACCAGAGAGAGACCAGAGAGAGACCAGAGGGAGACCAGAGGGAGACCAGAGAGGGACCAGAGAGACCAGAGAGAGAGACCAGGGAGAAACCAGAGAGAGACCAGAGAGAGACCAGAGAGTGACCAGAGAGAGACCAGAGGGAGACCAGAGAGAGACCAGAGGGAGACCAGAGAGAGACCAGAGAGAGACCAGAGAGAGACCAGAGGGAGACCAGAGAGAGATCAGAGAGACCAGAGAGAGACCAGAGAGAGACCAGAGAGAGACCAGAGAGAGATCAGAGAGACCAGAGAGAGACCAGAGAGAGATCAGAGAGACCAGAGAGAGACCCGAGAGGTACCAGAGAGACCAGAGGGACCAGAGAGACCAGATAGAGACCAGAGACCAGAGAGAGACCAGAGAGAGACCAGAGGGAGACCAGAGGGAGACCAGAGGGAAACCAGAGGGAGACCAGAGGGAGACCAGAGAGAGACCAGAGGGAGACCAGAGAGAGACCAGAGAGAGATCAGAGAGACCAGAGAGAGAACAGAGAGATACCAGAAATGAAAATGGATGTGCTCTCGCAACTGTGCGCTGTTTTTTTCCTTTAACCTCTAGTAGAGTTTAAATATTGCCCATACCTTTCCATCTACCAAAGGCTGTTTTGCTGACATGAAGTCTGTTTCACTCTTCATCTCTCTCTGTTGCACTAAGCATTTCTGAACACAACCACCCGCACTGTGAAATTGTGGAAACACCGGTGAAGCACTGACTTCAGACCAATCAGCTGAACATATTTATCATATTAAATCACGTGGACAATTTGTTAGGTACAGCGAATATGTTTCATGCCCACATTGTTTGTTCATACAAAACGCAAACCTCATGGAGTTATTGGGTCACTACCTTATAAATGACTGCACAGGCCTCTTCAGTTCAGACCCAGTTCGTGTTTAGTCACAGTTAATGGTTTGCAGCGTAGATATGAATCCTCCAATTGTTAAATGTAGTCAAAGAGTTTTAAAAAGTAAAACAAAACGCATGTGTCCTCCATAAACTCCTCTGTTTTGCTGCTGCGGGTGCATCCACTTTCTAAAATCCACCCTCTTTCACTTCACCTCTATTCTTATCACTTCTTAGTCATTGAAAAAATAACCCTAAATGCATTTTAAATAATCTTATAACGTGTTATATGTAGGTTAGCAAACCTGTTGCTGCCCTTAGCGATAAACCAGGAAGAGCAAGGAGCTTATCGATTGAATTGTATGCAAGCCGACTTTCTGCGCTCACATGCGCTCCTCTGTGGCTGACCTCACGGTGTTACCAAGCACGTGGATTGAGCGCATAATTTTTAGGACCAATATTTGTTTCAAAAAACAATTATGAGCCATCCTACTGCAACTGTAGCTTCGTAGATTGGTAAAGGAAATATGTTTTACATCAGCCAATAATTTGCTGAGAGGTATTTGCATCCTCCCTCTCTAGCATGACAATCGCACGCGCACGTGTACTATCACAAAATAAGAAAGCGAGAGAGCTCATTTGTGCGTCTGGAGTAACGGCCCAGTAACCGGGATGTCGGAAGAAATGATAACGGCGATATGTTACAGTCAAAGTAATTAGGTATTAGATTACTCGTTAACTGAAAGAAATGTAACGGCCCGTTATTTCCATCACTGTGTGTGGCCAACTAGAATGGTCCTTCTGGACAAAATGTCATGGCAATTATAGAAAACACAATTTTAGACCATCCATTATAGATTGGATTATTTCAACCTCAAAGGAGTAAACAAGAATGGGAACGTACTCATTATTGAGCTAAGATTCGGGTATTACTTCATTTTGTATCATGTATGGTGAAATCAGGGAACAATGTATCAAATATATTTGGAAACGGTATTTCACTTTTGTATTAGTGAGGAATGTCTTGCCCATCATGCGAGTGCTCTGGTTACCTGCAAGCCTTTTCCTTTTGTTTATAACCAAAAGCTACGGATGACGTGGATCGCACATAGACTGAGCGGGAATTTTCAAGCGCGATATAGGACTGCACCGCCGCACCAACCGGTCGGTCAATCACTCGCTTCAGACCTTGAGATACTTGACTGGCTCCATGTCTGCTGAAGGCAGGGCTCCTTTTTGCAGTGGTGCCTCACGGCCTCAATGTGGAGTTGCTGATTCCTCTATCCCACCTCCGTGTCACTTGCACTCAGGTCTGTTGCTCGCCCAGGTCTGCTCTTCATGAGGGCTCCACAAACTCCACACAAATAGATAAAGGTGATGTAGTCCCCACCTGGACCCCTTTCTCCTACTGCTTTTATCATAGAAAACCGGTGACAAAAGCAGCCTTAAGCAGAGCCCGATCATTAATCCTAGGATACCCAGTACTATGCAACAAACAAGACATTTTCAATATATTCTATTGCCATCACTTGTTGTAGTACCTTTGACAATTAGTGTGTATTTGATTCAAAGTTGGGCCACGTTGATTGTATTACAGTATTTATGGTGTGTATGTGTTACTCCAGCTTCTATAACTGTGAGTTATAGTTGGGTATGGGTTATTGTTCCTGCGCTGTGCTCATATAGTTCTGCTGCCACATTATAAAAAACATGCGCAAGTGGAGAAAATCCAATTGTTGAAAATCACGTCAAGCTACGCTCTGGGCCACAGCTTCAGCTTCATGATTTATTAGTGAAGCACAGCCGTATTTGCCATATAGGAAAACACTTTGGGTAGATGTCATGGTGGATATACAGAGAATGGATGTGAATTAAAAAATTGCAGAGCCATTTTTCCCGAGCTTATCTAGGCATAAAGCTTATTTTCTCAGCTATATTTATATGTAAGTGTAAACAATATCAGACTTTGCATTAAAAAGATATAACGCATAATATGGGCACAAAATAAATCGTGTTTGTATAAGTTTCTTACCTTTTGTCTTCTGCTGCTCCAACAAATTAGACTTTCCCCATCCTTGCTTAGTCTCTCTCTCTCCGTAAGTCTTCAGTGAAAAAGAATATCCACTTGTATTTCCCAAAGTATAATCCATTCTTCCAAATAATCCAAAAAGGTGCATTTTTCTGTTGCAAAAAAAAAAACGCTCCGAAAAATGTTCCGGCTTCTCTTTCACATTTCACCAAGTTTGAGCTTTGTTTACCCCCACAAACATCATATCCACGTGTTCTTTGAGTCCTTAAGCTTCAAAAACAGAGGTTCCATGAAAAGATAGGAGCAGGTTTCAGTCCGCAGGACCCTTGTGAAAAAGACGAACCGCATCCACTTGCACAGGGTCCTTTTTCCTTTGTTGTTGATTAGCGCTATGTGCTAGCACTGAAAGATTGACGTGTGTAAGTAGCCAATAAAAAGAGCTTTCTTTTGATGGGTGGGACTTGTAAGAACTCTTTTCATTTTTGAATTTTTTTTAAAGAAAATCACACAGATTTGTAACTTATAAGTACCAGAACTAAAAAATATGCTTTTTATGATGGTGAAATGTTAGTAAAGCAGTTTGGCACAATGGGCTCTATGCACGCACCACTTCCGTGTTTTAGCTACAACCCATGGATGTATTATATTAACTGGATAGGGTATTACTAGCTTGTAGCTGAATAACTCATGTGCTCAGGGGATTCTCGCGGTACTGCAGACTGAACCAGACTAAATTCACGTGGGCTACCCAGAAATTTTCCCCATAGAACTCAATGCATATTAAAACAGCTCGACCTCAGCTGACAGAGAACCTACAGCTTTAATAAAGATCGGATTTTGTGGGGATTTTAGTGTCCCTTGTCATCCTGAACTTTTTTTCTTCTTAAATCTTTCGGTTTTGTTTAAATCCACAATTTAGTGCCACAAACTCTGCTCCTCTGGCTCTCGCTCTAACTCCCGCTCTGATGAACTGCTCTGATTGGTCAGAGCGCGGCCGAGCCCCTCTGTGCACGTGCGTGAGACCCGGTGTGAGACCCACACACGCGTGTTTGGCGCAACGCATTATGGGAGATAATCCACTGCAAAGAACCGGGAGGACCAGACGATGCCCAAATACAGGCGAGTTTCCCATAGATCTTTGCGAGTTTCAGGCGACTTCCGCTAATCTTTCAGCCCCCATGCCGTCACAAAGCGCCACTGAGCACAACCATTCATTTGAATAGGGCGCCATCTTGGATCGCCGGGGCTTGCTACAACCCCACTTCACTTCCTGTTCGCGGGAAATGGCTTGAGTTTCACTGGAGTTCAGCAGTGATTTACACGAGTTTCCCAAGTAATGCTCAAACAGGAATTAAACAGTGAGGATACTGGGCAGTTTTGGGACACAGCAGTGCTCTTTGATTGTGCTGTCGTTGTGTTTTTATAAAGTTTAAAAATCGCTCCGAGTGGCCACAGTCAAAGCTCTACCTCAGAGAGAAAGCACAGCGACACTTTTGGGTCAGTCTCAGCTGAATGTATCGATCTAATTACTAAAAAACGTCACTAAAACCCACCTAAAAGCCGTAGGATAACATAGGCAGGAAGTGAACGAGCTGTGCTTTGTTAACAGGAAATGACGTCACGCCTCCCCGTGCATATAGCCCATTTGGCACACATTTTGCCAAATTGGTTCCGAATGGCACTACTTGATAAAAAAGAGAAACTCCATAAAAACTAGAAGTCTGAAACTTTACACAGTTGTTGTCAACAACACAATGAACAAATTGGCGTTGAAAATTTTCTTCTTCCAATGAAGTAGGCTTTTTTAGGGCATTTATACATTGAATTTTTTAGGCGAGGCTAAAAAAAAGTTTTTTTCCCCAAACTTCAAAGGATGCAGAGTGAAATAGGAATGACACACATTATTTCAGTGTATATTTACATAAACTAGAAAACTCTAGCTTTAAAATTATGCATCACACAAGCATGTGAGATGTAAGATGTGTTTTTAAATAAGCAAAGACATTTGGGTATGCCAAACTTTTGTGCACGAGCCAAAACAGATGCAGGCGTTTAAGAGGTTAACACACACCAAACCACCGACCAATCAGAAACCTTGGTCAGATTACGTGATGAATTGAGCCTTTAAAACAAAAGTATTGTCCATAAATTATCTTGGGGAATTTCCTAGGTGCAATGATGTCGTTACAATCACATATCTGTATAAATCTGAAACTCTGCCTCCCCATGTTTAGTCCTGACTCTGGGACCAGGAGGAGGCCAGTCCCTGTGCTCCTCAGAGTCCCAGCAGGGGGTCAGTCCCTGTGCTTCTCAAACTTGGTTGATATGGCACTAACATGTCACAGATGTACCTTAGCAGTCTATTCTCTGAGCCACAGGAAGCAGAGACCTGAGACCAGGACTAATGCGATGGTACTTCCTGGTTCTAGTCAGGGCTGTAGCTGCAGAAAGGACTTTATACTTTATATAAAAAGCCTCAATATTGATCTAAAACCTCCATACACGCAAAGTCAGTAAAAACTTCCGAGATTCCCTTGGTCAAGTTGGCGATCAGTGAATAATGTGCCTGTTGTCTCCCTTGTGTGTGTGTATCATGGATCCATTAGACTCAGAAATGTAAGTCTGAGTCTAATGGACTCAGACTTAGATTTCAATAGCCACATAAAATCTGTAACATCAGCAGTTTATTACCACCTAAAAAAACATTGCTAAAATTTAAAACATAGTGTCGAAGGCAGACTTGGAGATTCTTATCCATGCATTTGTCTCCAGTAGGTTAGACTACTGCAATGGCCTGCTCACAGGTCTGTCCAAACAGGCTGTAAAACAGCTGCAGTACATTCAAAATGCAGCAGCTCGAGTCCTGACTAGAACCAGGAAGTACGACCACATTAGTCCAGTCCTCAGGTCTCTGCACTGGCTTCCTGTGGCTCAAAGAATAGACTTCAAAGCAGCTTTATTTGTGTACAAGTCTATCCATGGCCTCGCACCGAGATACATCCGCGACATGTTAGTGCCATATGAACCGACCCAGACTCTGAGGAGCACAGGGACTGGACTCCTGCTGGTGCCAAGAGTTTGTACTAGACATGGGGAAACTGCATTTCAGATTCAGATACACCTCCTGTGTGGTACCAGTGCCCAAGTAAATAAAGCTTACTTACTTACTTACTTACAAGGTACCAGTGCCCAAGAAACCACGGGCCAAAGACCTCAGCGACTTCAGGCCGGTGGCTCTAACATCCCACTGCATGAAGACACTGGAGAGACTGGTCCTGGGACATCTCCGCTCCACTCTGAGCCCAGCGATGGACCCGCTACAGTTCGCCTACAGGCCGGGCATCGGAGTTGAGGACGCCATCATCTCCCTCCTCCATCGCTCCCTGTCCCACCTGGAGAAACCCGGCTCCACTGTGAGGATTATGTTCTTCGACTTCTCCAGCGCCTTCAACACCATCCAGCTGAGGCTTCTCAGGGACAAGCTGGAGGCAGGTGGAGTGGACTACGACCTGTCCCAGTGGATCCTGGACTACCTCACAGACAGACCCCAGTTTGTGAGAACCAGGGACTTTGTGTCTGAGGTCCTGACCTGCAGTGTGGGGGGCCCGCAGGGGACTGTTCTTGCGCCGTTCCTCTTCACCCTCTACACTGCGGACTTCAGACACAACACGGACGGTTGTGTCCTCCAGAAGTTCTCCGACGACTCTGCCATCATCGGACTCAGCTCCGAGGACGATGACACAGAGTACAGAGGAGTTATACAGAACTTTGTGGACTGGTGTCAGCGGAACCACCTCCTCATCAACGCGGGGAAGACCAAGGAGATGGTGGTGGATTTCCGCAGACGTCACTCTGCCGCTCCAGCTCCAGTGAACATCCAGTGAAAGGACATTGAGAGAGTGGACTATTAGAAGTACCTGGGTGTTCATCTGAACCACAAACTGGACTGGACTCATAACACAGACGCCCTCTTCAAGAAGGGCCAGAGCCGGCTCTACCTGCTGAGGAGGCTCAGGTCTTTTGGAGTGCAGAGGCCACTCCTGAAGACCTTCTATGACTCTGTGGTGGCATCAGCCTCTTGTACAGTGTGGTCTGCTGGAGCAGTAGCATCACAGAGAGGGACAGGAAGAAGCTGGACAAGGTCATCAGGAAGTCCAGCTCAGTCCTGGGCTGTTCCCTGGACACAGTGCAGCAGGTGGGGGACAGGAGGGTCCTGGACAAACTAACATCTATGCTGGACCATGACTGTCACCCCCTGCAGGACACTCTCTCTGCTCTGGAGAGCAGCTTCAGTGACAGACTAATTCACCCTCGCTGTGTGAAGGAGAGGTTCCACAGGTCCTTCCTCCCTGCTGCTGTCAGACTGTACAATAAGAACTGCTGAGTCTGTACAAATGTCACTGATATCCATCTGATATTTCTGCCATTCACAAGTCACTTTACCTGTTGATATTATTTCTGATATTTATTCTGTTCATATACATATTCCCATATTCTCCGCTGCTAATGTATAATATAGAAATCTGTAAATACTTTTGAACCAAGTGCAATTATAGCCCAGAGTTTATTTTATTTTATTTTATCCTTATCTTAATTTTATTGTCTATTATCTTAAATAATAGACTTATTTGATGCAATCTGAGTGCTCTTATTTCCTTGACACTGAAATTTCTCTACTGTGAGACGAATAAAGGTTTATCTTATCTTATCTTATCAGATTCATGCAGCTAGAGTCTGGAACCGTCTTCCTGAGAATGTGAGACAGGTGTCTACTCTGGCAGTTTTTAAATCTAGGCTGAAAACAGTTCTGTTTAGCTGTGCATACAACTGAATGATTTTATCTTTTCATCTTTGTTTTTACCTTTCATCTTTTTAATGCACTGTGACTATTTTGATTGATTGATAATAACTGGATAGAGTATAACTAGCTTGGAGATGAAGAACCCATGTGCTCGAGGGATTCTCGTCGTACTGCAGACGAAACCAGACTAAATTCACGTGGGCTACTCAGAAATGTTCTCCATAGAACTCAATGTAAACTAAAACAGCTCGACCTCAGCTGACAGAGAACCTACAGCTTTTATAAAGATCGGATTTTGTGGGGAGGTGTCCCTTGTCATCCTGAACTTTTTTTGTTCTTGAATCTTTCGGTTTTCTTTAAATCCACACTTTGGTGCCACAAACTCTGCTCGTTTGGCTCTCGCTCTAACTCCGCTCTGATCAGCAGCTCTGATTGGTCAAAGCGCAGCCGAGCCCCTCTGCACGTGCATGAGAGCCACACACGCGTATTTGGCGCAACGCATCATGGGAGTTCATCCACTGAGCAGAACCGGGAGGACCAGACGATGCCCAAATACAGGTGAGTTCTGCTAATCTTTCAGCCCCCATGCCGGCACATGCACCACGGATCACCGGGGCTTGGTGTGAATACATTTGTAGAAAACAACTATGATCCACGTCTGTGATCCGCCTGGAGCTCTCTGCTCCTGGTGCAGACAGCTCCTCAGATGGTGCTTCTTCAGCTTTAGTTTAGTTTTATTAAGATCCCCATTAGTCAATGAGGTTCAGAGGTTATTCTGTCTGGGGTCCCCTCAAAATCATGACATGCTCTTATAAATGCTTTTTGTGGTTCTTTTGAAAAACAAGTTAGATGTATTTCCTTGTTAAAGTGCTAAACCCGTTTTTGCAAAGTTTTTATCAGTTTGAATGTTTAGCACCGCCCCCAACTCGCTCACAGGCTTTTCATTTCCCCTACGCTCTCCTGCCTTAGAGCCATCTAGTTTTATTTGCGATCTGATACATATGCAAACATTAGCATTAGCGAAACATCTTAGCTGTACAACAATCACTGATGAAATGATACAAAAGCAACGCACTGCTAACAAAATATATAACTGAAAGATTACCACTAGCTTCGCGTCCGAATGTGGTCTCAGCAAAGATAGTCCGAGGCGGTCCCGCAGGTCTCTCCAGAGGATGCGATGTATCCTAACGCAACACTCGCTATATACTTTGATAATTTTTTGCTTTAGTTCCCTCTTCTCTTCCTCACTGTTGCGTTGTTTGAGCTGTTTTGCTGTGTCTGCAGTTACAGCCAGAGGAGTTTTAGCCAATTCTTCTAACATGCTACTGTGTTTAGCAGCGCTGTAGAGGCTAGAGGACGCAGCCTCGTTCTGTGATTGGAGGAGAGCGGGCGTCACGCGAAGTCTCTACTCAGCACTTTTTACGGCCTGAATTCATACACAGCTGAATCAATGAGCTCAAGTTTTCAATTAATTTACGGATTTTAATACAACTTGTATGTAGTAATAAGCATTTTTATGAACTCATTAGAAAATAAATATGGTACAGCTTCTTTAACATCTTCAGAACTGTCAGTGCCAGCCTGATTGACAGGTCCCTCAGACCACGCCCTCTTTCGCCCAGTGGTCTCTGGATCAACTTTGTTGTGCCTCTCTCATTTGTGGTTTGTTCTTCTGTGTTTGTGTCTTTTCAAAAATAACATTGAAAAGAGAAGTTTGTATTTTCTAAATGTTATTCAGCTCTGAGTAAAAGACTTCCTCTTAATCTGAGCAGATTGTGGGAAATGACCCTCTAAGTGTTTGCTTCAGTTCATGTACAGACCATAATAATGTCACAGAAGAGTCTTATTTTCCTCCATGTTTTAAAGTCTGAATAATATGAAGAACATGAATCACAATATATCACAAAATCAAATCACAATATTTTCTGTATCACATTATGTTAAGAATCACAATAATATTGAATTGTTTCTTTGGATTGTCAGACTGGACTCTCAGACCTGTGGACCAGACTGGACTCTCTCAGACCTGTGGACCAGTCTGGACTCTCTCAGACCTGTGGACCAGACTGGACTCTCAGACCTGTGGACCAGACTGGATTCTCTCAGACCTGTGGACCAGACTGGACTCTCTTCGACCTGTGGACCAGACTGGACTCTCTCAGACCTGTGGACCAGCCTGGACTCTCTCAGACCTGTGGACCAGCCTGGACTCTCTCAGAACTGTGGACCAGCCTGGACTCTCTCAGACCTGTGGACCAGCCTAGACTCTCAGACCTGTGGACCAGACTGGACTCTCAGACCTGTGGACCAGACTGGACTCTCTCAAACCTGTGGACCAGCCTGGACTCTCTCAGACCTGTGGACCAGTCTGGACTCTCAGACCTGTGGACCAGACTGGACTCTCTCAGACCTGTGGACCAGACTGGACTCTCTCCGACCTGTGGACCAGACTGGACTCTCTCAGACCTGTGGACCAGACTGGACTCTCTCCGACCTGTGGACCAGACTGGACTCTCTCAGACCTGTGGACCAGCCTGGACTCTCTCAGACCTGTGGACCAGTCTGAACTCTCTCCAACCTGTGGACCAGACTGGACTCTCTCCGACCTGTGGACCAGCCTGGACTCTCTCCGACCTGTGGACCAGACTGGACTCTCTCAGACCTGTGGACCAGCCTGGACTCTCTCCGACCTGTGGACCAGACTGGACTCTCTCAGACCTGTGGACCAGCCTGGACTCTCTCCAACCTGTGGACCAGACTGGACTCTCTCCGACCTGTGGACCAGCCTGGACTCTCTCCGACCTGTGGACCAGACTGGACTCTCAGACCTGTGGACCAGACTGGACTCTCAGACCTGTGGACCAGACTGGACTCTCAGACCTGTGGACCAGCCTGGACTCTCTCAGACCTGTGGACCAGCCTGGACTCTCAGACCTGTGGACCAGATTGGACTCTCTCAGACCTGTGGACCAGACTGGACTCTCTCAGACCTGTGGACCAGCCTGGACTCTCTCCGACCTGTGAACCAGCCTGGACTCTCTCCGACCTGTGAACCAGTCTGGACTCTCTCAGTCCTGTGGACCAGCCTGGACTGTCTCCGACCTGTGAACCAGTCTGGACTGTCTCCGACCCGCGGACAAGTCTGGACTCTCTCTGACCTGTGGACCAGCCTGGACTCTCTCAGGCCTATGGACCAGAGAGAGAGACCAGAGAGAGAGACCAGAGAGAGAGTTCTGGTGGTTCTTTATGAATCCAGACATAAATCCACATCAGAATAATCAGTGACTCTTTTGGCCCCTGGAAAAAGCCATGTTCCAGCTTCTTCCCTCTGGCAGAAGAATCTCGTTGGCTGCAGGACACCTGGATAGGCTAACATGCTAACAGCAGTCTGAAGAAAGCACTTTAATCTTGTTTTTGTGGGTTTCACACTGAGGATTGTTCAGGTCAGTGATAGAACATGGTTTATGACAGAAATGAACAGATTGTCCAGTCAGACCAGAACAGACACCAGTGAGAAGGATCCTCGTTTCCATGACGATAAGCAAAACTTATAAACTCAACTGTTCAAACTAGACTGAGAGTGAATGGTTCATGGCTCACATCAAAACATTAGTTCTCAACAGTAAAGTATAAAAAAACAGACTTTAGACTTCTTTATTATGCTAAAGTTAGAGATGTTATACTTGCCTCTGTATTATGCTAAAGTTAGAGATGTTATACTTGCCTCTGTATTATGCTAAAGTTAGAGATGTTATACTTGCCTCTGTATTATGCTAAAGTTAGAGATGTTATGTTATTTCAGTTTAGAGTTATTCTTCATTCCTACAGTTCTGTAACTGGTGATTACAACACTGACATTTCCCCACAGTGGGACGAGTTAAAGGAGCAGTATGTAGAAATCTGGCCAAAAGTGGTACTGCACCTTCTCCCACTCTCCCTGACTCAGGTTGCCAGATATGCAGACGAATCCAGCTGGGACCATAATATCTGAATAAAGAGTTTTGTCAACAATAAATCTATAACAAACACCTTTTTCACAAAGATAGAATTCCTGGTTTTATTCCTTGTTTTGTCGTTAATGATTTGAGAATTTTTGATTTTTTAGTTCTGCGCCACATGGTACTTTACCAGTGAGATTAGCTTGATGCAGTGAGTTCTGGCAACCCGGATCACGGACTTTCTGATTGGTGAAACGGGCGGACATCGAAATGAAAACAATAACAAGATTTAAGGGCTGTAAAACTATTATTGAAATTTGAAAATCTCTGAACTCCTGTGATCAGTGAAAGACTTATTGGTAAAGAGCAGGTTTTATTAATGCTTTTGACAGATTAGGGCTTGACTTGAAATGAAAATCTTACACATTGCTTCTTTAAGATCTTAGTTTTTCTCTCCTTCAGTTGCTCAGACAGAGGTGTTCCTCTAACGTTTGTCTGGAACACCACAGCGCCCCCTACTGACCCACTTTGGGAAGCCCTGGTCATTATGAAAACCTTTGGAATGATGAAAAAACTTTATTAAATGCAATTTCGTTTTCTTCCTTTATTTTTGAAATCACCAAATGTGTCACCATAAATACTACATTTCTGACAATTGGGCGGCACAGTGGCTGAGTGGTTAGCATTCTCGCTTCTCAGCAAGAAGGTTCTGGGTTCAAATCCCAGTCAGAAAAGGGCCTTTCTGAGTGAATTTTGCACGTTCTACCCATGTTTACGTAGGTTTCCTCTGGGTGCTCCGGTGGCCTCTACTACTAAAAACATGTACAGAAGCACTTCGGCAACCACTGCGTCTGACTCCCACACATTTCTGGTGCAATAACGAATAACTTAACTTAATTAGGCCAGTTTGCAAAGGGCTACATTTCAATCCTTTGCAAAACAAGAAAATATCCTAATGTTTCAATTAAAATACAAACAAATGCCTTTAGTTTAGACCAGTGCGTGCCGACTTGTCTTTCCTATCGCCTGTACACTCCACAGACCTCTGCGTTTGGAGACTGCCGAGAGAAACAAACTGTTGTGGAGAAAGGAACTACCGTACTTTCTGGACTATAAGACACAGGTTTTCATGTTTAATGTAAAGGAGACGTCACAACAGGATTTAATGACGAGCTTCCACGAGCTTCCATGACACATTCACCGTTAGCTTCCATGACTCATTCACCGTTAGCTTCCATGACACATTCACAGCTAGCTTCCATGACTCATTCACCGTTAGCTTCCATGACTCATTCACCGTTAGCTTCCGTGACTCATTCACCGTTAGCTTCCATGACTCATTCACCGTTAGCTTCCATGACTCATTCACCGTTAGCTTCCATGACTCATTCACCGTTAGCTTCCATGACTCATTCACCGTTAGCTTCCGTGACTCATTCACCGTTAGCTTCCATGACTCATTCACCGTTAGCTTCCATGACTCAATCTCTGCTAGCTTCCATGAAAAACACATATTAGCCACACTGCTAGCTATATATAATAACAAAATATTGGCTTATAGTCATGAAATTACGGTAGCTCTGCTGGATTTAATTACAGTTTTGTTTGAAAGTCTCCCCAGCTTTAAAAAAAACAACAACAAAAAAACCTTTAGAATTCAAACATCAATCAGTTTGTTTAAATGTGTGCGACCTTTAACCTCTGCAGACATAAAACTGGAGAAAAGTTATTCCTCAAACTAAAGCAGTCATCCTGTTGTTGGGAGAGTGATGTCTCTCCTCCTCCAGACCCACAGGGGGCGCTGGTCATGGACCCCACACAACAACATGCAGATGAGAGAGAATGCATGAAAACAGAGATGTTGGTTTACTTTGGTGTGCAAAAGTATACTCTTTATTCTTATTCTTATTATATATCCAACTTTTATTTGAGCCCGAGCCCTCCCCTCCCCTCAGCCCTCCCCGAACCAGTGGCGTTCCCCTGTCACCAGTAACTGTCACTGTTACAATAGCCAATCAGAGCTCACCTGCTGAAAGAAGGCAACCAAACAAAGAAGAGCAGAAAAAAGGGTTACTTTGAGTTTTTCTTGTTAAATAGTAATAAATACATTGAGATGCAGTGGTTCTTAACTTGTATCCTTTCCTCTGAAGCGGAAAAAGGTCTCAAAAGAGTTCTGTCTCACTCTATCTCTTTTATAGTATCTTTATTGATCTGTGTTGTGTCGTTAGCAGCAATCCGGACCGGTCGTCATGGTGATTAGCAGCACAGAGAGGAGGAGCTGTCTGGAGGAGGACAGCGGGAGGAGGAGACGAGAACAAGTGACCTCTGACCCCAGTGCGGCTTTTGACCAGCGTTTTGTACTGTTGTTTAGATTATGAATAAAGTATGTTTTCTAGCTTTAGCGTATGTATCGAGGGCAATATGTAACATTAAAAAAACAGTGAAAACCGCTCGAATTGCCGATGCAGGAGGAGGGTCTATAACGTGTTTGTTATCATTGCATTTCCTGTTTTTGAACCGTTTGATTCTCTGATCTGTGTTGGTGAATCGACAGCTTTGTGAAGTCCTCAGAGATGACTGCTGTTGTGATTCAGGACGATACACATATAACTTGAATTGAATTGTAATCTTCTAGTTGTGTGTGGAGAGCCGTACGTAACCTTTCTCAGCACTGAGGGAGAAAACGCAAATAAAAGTCTTTGTTTGTATATGTCTGCTTGATTTTGTTTTTGTTATTGTCTTAAACCTGTATTTAACCCAATTTGGATCTGCACGGCTAGCTAACGTCTGTAGCCGGGGCGTTCTGTGGTGGGGGAGGGGACGCATTTGTGCTGAAGATTCCCAAAACAAGAATGTACGCAGCTAAAAACGACTCCAGGTGTGTCTGATGAGGGGACAGTGTTGTGACGCCGAGAGACAAGAAACAGAAAGCGGGTTTTGTCTTTGACTCGCGGACAGCAGCTAATGCACACCTGCGCGAGGGTTTGAGCGCACGGCTAACGCTAACACGCGGAGGAGCCGCAGACGCAGAGGCGGGAACAGAGCGGCCCTTGTCTCTCCCCTCCTCTCCAGGCATCAGCCGATGAGAACACACAACTCCTCAAACACAGACAAATCAACTCAAGAGGCAACAAGAACAATATGAAGGAAACTAGGGGCTGCACCATTCAGGACCATCACTGCTTCACCGCACTGAAACCATGGGTCTGAGTTCCCAACACAAAATCTAAATCTGCTGTTGTGTTGAAATGATTCTAAAGGAACCGTTTGATAAATGTTGACTTTAAATGAAACATGAGCCGTGTCCTCAGGAGCAACTATAAAACTATAACTGACACTGCTAACAATTGTAACGTCTGTAAAGAACATCGTGTTTTGGTTCAAGCTGATTCTCTGATCAGGAAGCAGACTGCTGAGCCTCACGTGAGTCTCTCATCTGGGTTGCCAGGTTGAATGGTGAAACGCAGAATTGAACGGTGAAACCTAAATTAAACTATGGGTGAGACAGTAGTGAATGGTGCAGCCCTCCGGTCACAGCCAGTCGTCTGATACAATCACAGAGGATGGGGCTGCCTCCTCCTGCTCCCCCTCTCACGCACCCCCCGGCCTCAGCGCGGCCTCAGCGCGGCGCCGCTGCACTCCGCAGGTGCACTCTGTGTCTGTGCGCTGGGCGGCATGTGGGTGCACACTTCACATGGTTCACATCGTATGGCTTTAGGGCACGCAGGGTCAGGGTTTATCAAGAGTTAGCTGGGCCCTCGTCTGAGTCCGGCCGGCCCCGGCCCCCACCAGGCCCCCCCGCACCGGGGTTATTGTTGTTGGAGGTGGGGTAGTATTCGTCAGGAGGCGGGGCCTGCGGTGCAGGGGCGTTGGAGGCCGTGCGAGTCCGGAAGGCGGACAGTCCCATGGGCAGCCCCAGCGGCAGAGAGGCCGAGCCGAACTGAGACGCATCCACGTGGTGCAGCCCCAGGGACACGCCCACACCCACATCCATGCTGTCACTCATCTGGGGGGAGCCGGGAGCCCCGCCCTGGCCGCTCTGCCGGGGCCCGCGGTGAGGGTACGAGGGGTGAGGGTGGTGCGGAGCGTCCAGGAAGTGGCGCTGGTGCTGCTGGGACGCAGCGGGCTTGTGCAGGAGCAGCTGAGTGTAGGACGTGTCCCCTCCTACTCCCCCTACCCCACTGTCACTGCCAGGCCACATCCTCATCTGGGACTGGGACACCGGGGCCTGGGGACACAGAGACAGCAGTGAGAGCGGGGGCAGAGACATCTACTACATGTGTTTACAGCAACAAGACATTCATAATGAGTGAAAGGCTGAGGGCACATACCTGAGGGCTGGTCATCTCGTAGTCCGAGTGCGTCACACCAGAGTTGTAGTAACGGTTACTGTAGCGGTAGTTGCGGTTGTCGTTGGAAGAACCACTGGAGCCACCTGCAAACACAATCAATCTTAGAAACGTCCGTGTTGTTTATCCAGGGCTTGTGTCAGACGTCAGACTGAATAAGTGTCAGAACTGCGCGTCTCCAAAAGACATGTGAGAGTCACAGTGTGTTTTCTCTCACTCCTGATGAGCGATGGAAGCAGGTTGCCATATTTTTTCAGTCCTGGTGCAGGTCATTATAGTGACTTATTGTACAGTCTGACAGCGGTGGGGATGAAGGCCCTGCAGTAGCGCTTCCACTGAATGAGCACCTCAGCTCCTCTCAGTCCAGCACCCTCCTGTCCCTCACCTAGGTAGAGGCCAGAGGTCAGAGTGTGAGAAGGCCTACCGGAGCTGGACACAGAGCTGGTGGTGGAGGTGGAGTGTGAGTGGTCCATGGCAGGAGAGGTGGAGGTGGACGAGCTGGTGTTGGTTCCCTCGTCTGTGGTCTTCTTGAAGAAGTTGTGTTGGAGAGCGTAGAATGGTGTGATGCGGCTCTTGGGGTCGTAGTCGAGCATACGCAGGATCAGGTCTGTGGAGAGGGTCAGGGTCAGATACATGTGTGTCTTACAAGCTTTCAACAGGACACCTCACCTTTAAACTTCAGATAGTCACATGGGGCGTGTCCAGGCTCCCCGGCCCTGCGGCCTCCCGGGCCCCCAGTCTCTACGCCTAGAATCTCATGAAGGCGGCGTGTGGCGGGAGGTTTGTACTCCTGCAACATACAGAGGAGCGACATGAGTGCCTAAGTCATTTGAGTAAAAGGTGAAGGCAAGGTAAAAAACCTTTTGGCACCAAGTACACACAGTAGACATTTAGCAGCGTGGTAGCAGTAGCAACAGTCGTGTCAATAGCGTCAGTAGCAACAGTCGCGACTATAGCGACAGTAGTAACAGTAGCGTCAATAGCGACAGTAGTAACAGTAGCGTCAGTAGCGACAGTAGCGTCAATAGCGACAGTAGTAACAGTAGCGTCAGTAGCGACAGTAGCGTCAATAGCGACAGTAGTAACAGTAGCGTCAGTAGCGACAGTAGCGTCAATAGCGACAGTAGTAACAGTAGCGTCAGTAGCGACAGTAGCGTCAATAGCTACAGTAGCGTCAGTAGTAACAGTAGCGTCAGTAGTAACAGTAGCGTCAATAGCGTCAGTAGTAACAGTAGCGTCAGTAGCGACGGTAGTAATAGTAGGGTCAGTAGTAACAGTAGCGTCAATAGTGACAGTAGTAACAGTAGCGTCAATAGCGACAGTAGTAACAGTAGCGTCAATAGCGACAGTAGTAACAGTAGCGTCAATAGCGACAGTAGTAACAGTAGCGTCAATAGCGACAGTAGTAAGTAACAGTAGCGTCAATAGCGACAGTAGTAACAGTAGCGTCAGTAGTAACAGTAGCGTCAATAGCGACAGTAGTAACAGTAGCGTCAATAGCGACAGTAGTAACAGTAGCGTCAGTAGTAACAGTAGCGTCAGTAGTAACAGTAGCGTCAGTAGCGACAAAAGTATAAGATGGCGGTCTTAAATCAGGGGTCAGTGATGAAGCAAACATGCACAGGTTTGAGGATAAGACTCTGACCTTTTTAATGTCTTTGTTCTTCTTCACAGTCCACAGGCCGTCAGACAGCTTGTCGAAATACTTCCTGGCTTTAGGCGCTGCGTCGAGCATGTGGCTGGGAGGAACCCCCAACACCTCCACAATCTTATTCATCTGGTCCACCTGCACACAGACAAGAGCAGTGAGACACAGCACCACAGGTCATAGGGAGAGTTACTATGATATAAGCCTTATTAAGGTACACCACCATGGAAAAGCTATTTCATTTCACCATTTATGGAAATGAAATCAGAAAACTAACAATGATATGTATCCTGGCATATCCGCTGGTCTCGATGGGAGCAGAGAGAGTGGGAGACCTTGGTGGGAGTAGAGAGAGTGGGAGACCTTGGTGGGGGTAGAGAGAGTGGGAGACCTTGGTGGGGGTAGAGAGAGTGGGAGACCTTGTGGGAGCAGAGAGAGCGGGAGACCTCGGTGGGAGTAGAGAGAGTGGGAGACCTCGGTGGGAGTAGAGAGAGTGGGAGACCTCGGTGGGAGTAGAGAGAGTGGGAGACCTCGGTGGGAGCAGAGAGAGTGGGAGACCTCGGTGGGAGTAGAGAGAGTGGGAGATCTCGGTGGGAGCAGAGAGAGTGGGAGACCTCGGTGGGAGTAGAGAGAGTGGGAGACCTCTGTGGGAGTAGAGAGAGTGGGAGACCTCGGTGGGAGCAGAGAGAGTGGGAGACCTTGTGGGAGCAGAGAGAGCGGGAGACCTCGGTGGGAGTAGAGAGAGTGGGAGACCTCGGTGGGAGTAGAGAGAGTGGGAGACCTCGGTGGGAGCAGAGAGAGTGGGAGACCTCGGTGGGAGTAGAGAGAGTGGGAGACCTCGGTGGGAGCAGAGAGAGTGGGAGACCTCGGTGGGAGTAGAGAGAGTGGGAGACCTCGGTGGGAGCAGAGAGAGTGGGAGACCTCGGTGGGAGCAGAGAGAGTGGGAGACCTTGGTGGGGGTAGAGAAAGTGGGCGACCTCGGTGGGAGCAGAGAGAGCGGGAGACCTCGGTGGGAGCAGAGAAAGTGGGAGACCTCGGTGGGAGCAGAGAGAGTGGGAGACCTCGGTGGGAGTAGAGAGAGTGGGAGACCTCGGTGGGAGCAGAGAGAGTGGGAGACCTCGGTGGGAGTAGAGAGAGTGGGAGACCTCGGTGGGAGCAGAGAGAGTGGGAGACCTTGTGGGAGCAGAGAGAGCGGGAGACCTCGGTGGGAGCAGAGAGAGTGGGAGACCTTGTGGGAGCAGAGAGAGCGGGAGACCTCGGTGGGAGTAGAGAGAGTGGGAGACCTCGGTGGGAGTAGAGAGAGTGGGAGACCTCGGTGGGAGCAGAGAGAGTGGGAGACCTCGGTGGGAGTAGAGAGAGTGGGAGACCTCGGTGGGAGCAGAGAGAGTGGGAGACCTCGGTGGGAGTAGAGAGAGTGGGAGACCTCGGTGGGAGCAGAGAGAGTGGGAGACCTCGGTGGGAGCAGAGAGAGTGGGAGACCTCGGTGGGAGCAGAGAGAGTGGGAGACCTTGGTGGGGGTAGAGAAAGTGGGCGACCTCGGTGGGAGCAGAGAGAGCGGGAGACCTCGGTGGGAGCAGAGAAAGTGGGAGACCTCGGTGGGAGCAGAGAGAGTGGGAGACCTCGGTGGGAGCAGAGAGAGCGGGAGGACTCAGTGAGAGTAGAGAGAGTGGAAGTACCTCGTTGGAGCCACTGAAGAGCGGTTCTCCCGTGTGCATCTCCACCAGGATGCAGCCCAGGGACCACATGTCGATGGCCAGGTCGTAGGGCATGCCCAGCAGCACCTCTGGAGAGCGGTAGAAGCGGCTCTGAATGTACTGGTAGATCTGAGGACAGAGGACATGTGTGTCATCGAGAGAACAATCTGATGAAACAACACACACAGCTGGAAAGGGAAAGTAAACAGTAGGAGGAGGAGGAATGAACAGTGCTCATCGGACCATCTGATTTGTTAACCATATATGTGTGATCAGCACAGAGAAAGGACAGAGCAGAGAAGTGTTGCCTCTGTGGCCTTCACCTGAGACACAAAGACCACACCTGTGTTCTGAAGGAGTGGGCCTGATGGGTGCTGGGTCCAGAGTGCTGTGTGCTGTGTAGAAAAAGCTACGTCCTCGGTGCTATGTAGAAGATGCTAGGTCCTCTGTGCTGTGTATAAAATGCTAGGTCCTCGGTGCTATGTATAAGGTGCTAGGTCCTAGGTGAAGTGTATAAGGTGCTAGGTCCTAGGTGAAGTGTATAAGGTGCTAGGTCCTCTGTGCTGTGTAGAAGATGCTAGGTCCTCGGTGCAGTGTATGAGGTGCTAGGTCCTTGGTGCTATGTAGAAGATGCTACGTCCTCTGCTGTGTAGAAGGTGCTGTGTGCTGGTGTGGGCTCACCCTCTGTCCCAGCTGGCACGAGGAGCCAAAGTCCACGATCTTGATGGCGGACCTCTTGGGGTTACACAGCAGGATGTTCTCTGGTTTCAGGTCGCAGTGGATGATTGACAGCTCAGGCGTGGCCAAGAATAACAATGCTGCGTACACAAGAGGCAACAGTCAAACCTCGCTCTTTATCTTCCATTTCAGCAACACTTTGTGGTTTATGAAACGTGGGTCGTAGAATAAATTAGACAGACAGAAATTTCCAACATTGTCTGTCAGTCTGTCTATCCATCTGTCTGTATGTCTGTCTATCCATCTATCTATCTGTCTGTATCTGTCTGTCTGTCTATCCATCTGTCTGTCTGTCTATCGATCCGTCTGTCTGTCTGTCTGTCTATCTATCTGTCTGTATCTGTCTGTCTATCCATCTGTCTAACTATTTGTCTATCCATCTATATGTCTGTCTGTCTGTATCTGTCTATCCATCTGTCTAACTATTTGTCTATCCATCTATATGTCTGTCTGTCTGTATCTGTCTATCTTTTTGTCTGTCTGACTATCCATCCATCCGTCTGTCCGTCCGTCCGTCCGTCTGTCTATCTATCTGTCTATCTTTTTGTCTGTCTGACTATCCATCCATCCGTCTGTCCGTCCGTCCGTCCGTCCGTCTATCTATCTATCTGTCCATCCATCTTTCTAACAGTCCATCTATCTAACTATCTATCTATCTGTCCAGCTATCCAACTGTCCATATATCTATCTACCTATCTGTCCATATATCTATCCGTCTATCTGTCTGTCTGTATTGACTGCAGAATGAAATGAAAGTGTGTGGAGTGGGAGAATGCAGAGGCTCCACCTGTGCACAGCTGCTGGGCAAACTTCCGCGTGAGGTTCAGCGACACGCCTCTGAAGTTGGTGTTCCGTAACAAATCATACAGGTTGTAGCTCAGGAGCTCGAAAACCAAACACAAATGATTCCTAAACATAAAGTGACGCTTCAGGTGGACTGTGGAAGAGCAGAGAGGAGAGAGAGGCACAGCTGGTTAAACGTCGGCACAAACAAGTATTTCTTAGGATAAAGCTCTTATAATGGTGCTTTGAAGAACGCAGAGGTTACAGTCAACGGTCAAAGGCACGCAGAGACAAAGAGGGTCATTTTCACTGCACTAATCTACAGATTCTGTCCTCAAAGTTTGAATGAAATTTTTTTTTGATTCTGTTAAGTATCACGATATTTTGCACATGCAGTTAAATAGATACAGTAGAACAAAGTAATGCGATATTTGTTGTGTTTTCTCTGAGTGTCCTTCGGTCATTTCCATCTGAGGTTTATGTTTCTCTATGATGTCTGCTTGCCATGACTCTATGACGTCTGCTTGTTGTGACTCTATGACGTCTGCTTGCCATGACTCTATGACGTCTGCTTGCCATGACTCTATGACGTCTGCTTGCCATGACTCTATGACGTCTGCTTGCCATGACTCTATGACGTCTGCTTGCCATGACTCAATGACGTCTGCTAGTTGTGACTGTATGACGTCTGCTTGCCATGACTCTATGACGTCTGCTAGTTGTGACTCTATGACGTCTGCTTGCCATGACTCTATGACGTCTGCTTGCCATGACTCTATGACGTCTGCTTGCCATGACTCTATGACGTCTGCTTGTTGTGACTATATGACGTCTGCTTGTTGTGACTATGGTGTCTGATGTTGTGACTCTATGGTGTCTGATGCTGTGACTCTATGATGTCTGCTTGTTGTGACTATGATGTCTGCTTGTTGTGACTCTATGATGTCTGCTTGTTGTGACTCTATGATGTCTGCTTGTTGTGACTCTATGGTGTCTGATGTTGTGACTATGATGTCTGCTTGCCATGACTCTATGATGTCTGCTTGCCATGACTCTATGATGTCTGCTTGCCATGACTCTATGATGTCTGCTTGCCATGACTCTATGATGTCTGCTTGCCATGACTCTATGATGTCTGCTTGCCATGACTCTATGATGTCTGCTTGCCATGACTCTATGACTTCTGCTAGTTGTGACTGTATGACGTCTGCTTGTTGTGACTCTATGATGTCTGCTTGTTGTGACTCTATGATGTCTGCTTGCCATGACTCTATGATGTCTGCTTGCCATGACTCTATGATGTCTGCTTGCCATGACTCTATGACGTCTGCTTGTTGTGACTGTATGACGTCTGCTTGTTGTGACTCTATGATGTCTGCTTGTTGTGACTCTATAACGTCTGCTTGTTGTGACTCTATAACGTCTGCTTGTTGTGACTCTATGACGTCTGCTTGTTGTGACTCTATGATGTCTGCTTGTTGTGACTCTATGATGTCTGCTTGTTGTGACTCTATGATGTCTGCCTGTTGTGACTCTATGATGTCTGCTTGTTGTGACTCTATGACGTCTGCTTGTTGTGACTATGATGTCTGCTTGTTGTGACTCTATGACGTCTGCTTGTTGTGACTCTATGATGTCTGCTTGTTGTGACTCTATGACGTCTGCTTGTTGTGACTCTATGATGTCTGCTTGTTGTGACTCTATGATGTCTGCTTGTTGTGACTCTATGATGTCTGCCTGTTGTGACTCTATGATGTCTGCCTGTTGTGACTCTATGATGTCTGCTTGTTGTGACTCTATGATGTCTGCCTGTTGTGACTCTATGATGTCTGCTTGTTGTGACTCTATGACGTCTGCTTGTTGTGACTCTATGATGTCTGCTTGTTGTGACTCTATGACGTCTGCTTGTTGTGACTCTATGATGTCTGCTTGTTGTGACTTTATGATGTCTGCCTGTTGTGACTCTATGATGTCTGCCTGTTGTGACTCTATGATGTCTGCTTGTTGTGACTCTATGACGTCTGCTTGTTGTGACTCTATGATGTCTGCCTGTTGTGACTCTATGACGTCTGCTTGTTGTGACTCTATGATGTCTGCTTGTTGTGACTTTATGATGTCTGCCTGTTGTGACTCTATGATGTCTGCCTGTTGTGACTCTATGATGTCTGCTTGTTGTGACTCTATGACGTCTGCTTGTTGTGACTCTATGATGTCTGCCTGTTGTGACTCTATGATGTCTGTCTATCCATCTGTCTGTCTGTCTATCGATCCGTCTGTCTATCTATCTGTCTGTATCTGTCTATCCATCTGTCTGTCTATCCATCTGTCTAACTATTTGTCTATCCATCTATATGTCTGTCTGTCTGTATCTGTCTAACTATTTGTCTATCCATCTATATGTCTGTCTGTCTATCTTTTTGTCTGTCTGACTATCCATCCATCCGTCCGTCCGTCTGTCTGTCTATCTGTCTATCTATCTATCTGTCCATCCATCTGCCATGACTCTATGATGTCTGCTTGCCATGACTCTATGACGTCTGCTAGTTGTGACTCTATGACGTCTGCTTGTTGTGACTCTATGACGTCTGCTTGTTGTGACTCTATGACGTCTGCTTGTTGTGACTCTATGACGTCTGCTTGTTGAGACTCTATGACGTCTGCTTGTTGTGACTCTATGATGTCTGCTTGTTGTGACTCTATGATGTCTGCTTGTTGTGACTCTATGATGTCTGCCTGTTGTGACTCTATGATGTCTGCTTGTTGTGACTCTATGACGTCTGCTTGTTGTGACTCCATGATGTCTGCTTGTTGTGACTCTATGATGTCTGCTTGTTGTGACTCTATGATGTCTGCCTGTTGTGACTCTATGATGTCTGCTTGTTGTGACTCTATGACGTCTGCTTGTTGTGACTCTATGATGTCTGCTTGTTGTGACTCTATGATGTCTGCCTGTTGTGACTCTATGATGTCTGCTTGTTGTGACTCTATGATGTCTGCTTGTTGTGACTCTATGACGTCTGCTTGTTGTGACTCTATGATGTCTGCTTGTTGTGACTATGATGTCTGCTTGTTGTGACTCTATGTCTGCTTGTTGTGACTCTATGATGTCTGCCTGTTGTGACTCTATGATGTCTGCTTGTTGTGACTATGATGTCTGCCTGTTGTGACTCTATGATGTCTGCTTGTTGTGACTCTATGACGTCTGCTTGTTGTGACTCTATGACGTCTGCTTGTTGTGACTCCATGATGTCTGCTTGTTGTGACTCTATGATGTCTGCTTGTTGTGACTCTATGATGTCTGCCTGTTGTGACTCTATGATGTCTGCTTGTTGTGACTCTATGATGTCTGCTTGTTGTGACTCTATGATGTCTGCTTGTTGTGACTCTATGTCTGCTTGTTGTGACTCTATGATGTCTGCTTGTTGTGACTCTATGATGTCTGCTTGTTGTGACTCTATGATGTCTGCTTGTTGTGACTCTATGATGTCTGCTTGTTGTGACTCTATGATGTCTGCTTGTTGTGACTCTATGATGTCTGCCTGTTGTGACTCTATGATGTCTGCTTGTTGTGACTCTATGATGTCTGCTTGTTGTGACTCTATGATGTCTGCTTGTTGTGACTCTATGATGTCTGCTTGTTGTGACTCTATGATGTCTGCTTGTTGTGACTCTATGATGTCTGCTTGTTGTGACTCTATGTCTGCCTGTTGTGACTCTATGATGTCTGCCTGTTGTGACTCTATGATGTCTGCTTGTTGTGACTCTGATGTCTGCTTGTTGTGACTCTATGATGTCTGCTTGTTGTGACTCTATGATGTCTGCTTGTTGTGACTCTATGATGTCTGCTTGTTGTGACTCTATGATGTCTTGTCTGTAATAAGGTCCTTCCCTTCTCTGTGATTGCAATATCACAGAATTGAATGACAATTGTGGCCCAAATATTGCAATACTATTGAAATTTCACATTTTTTCCAATTCCCAGTGAGAGGGACACACTCACCTATGTAATATTTCATCTCCGTGTCATGCTTGTTCATGAGCTCCAGCAGCCGCAGCTCGATCTGTGCCTGGTTTAGAAAGGCCTTTTTGTTCTTGATAATCTTGATGGCGACCCACTCCTGCTCGTGGTGGTCGTAGGCCTTCACCACCTGCGACAAAAACAGACACAAATATAATAATAACGATGCATGAAAAGACACTTCACATGTCATTATTCTTTCACTCCAAACATGGTGGTGATAAACTCCTCCTATAGTCACAGCTGCCCTGGGGCACACTGACAGAGGCGAGGCAACCAGTCTGTGCCATCAGACCCTCCCCACCACCACCAACCATTCACACACACACCAGACTCATTCTAGGCAATGTGGGTGAAGTGTCTTGCCTAAGGACACAGGAATAGTTTGGCACTTTACAGCCGCCCCACTGTGACACCTGATGTTCTCAGAGGTCTCCCATCACAGTACTCACCAGGCCCTGTCCTGCTTAACTTCAGAGGTCTGATGGAACCTGGCTTTCACCTACAGGTGTAGCCACTATCAAAACACATCATCCTCATCCTATAGTTTCTGATGACAATGGAAACTGTCAAAAGTCAGATTCTATTTTTAATTTACAGCTAATTTCTCGGTAGATTCTGGGTCAATCCACATGAAATCCTCTGACATTTTCCCACTGTGGGACCAAAAAAGGATCTCTTTTTCTTTTCTTTCCTGATACCAACAACACATGCATGTAAAAACTAGTGATAGACGCAAACTGCTTTAGAGCCAAGAACTACATACATTGGATCACATAGTTCCATTGAAAGTGCTCAGATATGTGCTGATGAACACTGTTGCCATGTCCGCCTGCTTGACCAACGCTGCCATCTAGTGTTGTAAAAAGGCATTGCATTGCATTGCATTCATAACAATTACTCCTGTCGGGCTTCAGAAAACAAGCTAGTTTAGGGATAACCAACAGAATCAAAATATATTCAGATTGAAGCTTGTTCAAGACTCAAATCAGAGAGATTGGTGCATTGTAAGGCAGTGGTTCTCAAAGTGGGGGTCAGGACTCAGATCTGGGGTACCTAACTTTCAAACCACAACATTGAACCAGGGAATACACTCCATTGGCTCTAAAACAGTTGCTTCTATCACTAGTTTCCTGAGAATCATGAGTTTCTGTCTCTGTCACAGCTTTTACAGACATTATAGTGACAGAGATAGAACCACCCTCACTCAGCCAATCAGCTCTCAGCGTTTGTGTATGAATGAAGACCTGTTGTGGTCTGGTTTCACTTTCTCTTTCTGTTACACTGATTATTTACTGAGAGAAAAGTTAGGTTACAGGATGATTTTTAGATTATTTAGGTCATTATCATAACATTCTGATTCATAATTTCTTTCATTAACAAACGCTATATTTAAAGATGAGGACAGATTAAAGAAATAACAAAATATATAAGATAACAGTGAGTTCAGAGTTGGGTTTGTGGTCATTCTGGATTTCTCTCAGATAAATACTCTCACCACACTACATGCACTTTAATGTAATGTAATGTGGGTTTGTGGAGTTGGATCAAGAGCTAACAGACTGTAAACGTTTAAATTCAATTTAAAATTAAGTTGAGAATTAATGCCGAGGATGCAAGCTTTCTATTTTTCATGAAAATTTGCTTTTTGTTTGTGATGGAACTTCTCTTCATGTGTTTTTAATTATAGAAAAAAAACTAGTCCCCACGGGCTCCGTTAGTGGCAAAGGAGATGCTAAAGCTAGGCTAAATGCTAAAGGTCTCACTCACTCGGGCGCATTACATACGTCACGGTAAACTCAGATAAATACAACTGTGTCAATCTGCAAAAGGAGTTAACCCCTCCCACCTGTTAACAGAGCTCAATGGAGCAAATCCAGACCTTAGTTCTAAATGAAATGAGTACGATGCATGGTAAGACCAGGCTAGGACTAATCTAATAATGGATCTCTTTGTACGTCCAGGAGCTGAACCTCCAGAGCATGTGAAATGTTGTGTGTCTCATAAGTAATCTTTGAATAAAGGTAAACTCTGTGTCTCCTGAATCCAAAGCAGAACATAAATCTCATGCACACAGACCTGTCCGAAGGAGCCCTTCCCGATGAGAGAGTCGATCTCATAGCGGTCCAGCCACTTCTCTCCGTTCTTGACGATGTAGTCGTAGTTATCGTCGTCGTAGCCGTCGTTGTAGACCTTCCTCTCCTTCTTGGTGCTGCTATCCTCTGGAGGCACCTGCTGAGCTCGCCTCTTCTTCTTAGTGTAGTACACCTGTGCACCAGGGAGGGCGCTGTGTTAGCAAAGGGATGGCACATGGACAGCAAAGGGACCAGGACAGATATAGGACATGAACAGCACAGGGACAGCACATGGACAGCACAGGGACAGGACATGGACAGCACAGGGACAGGACATGGACAGCACAGGGACAGGACATGGACAGCACAGGGACAGGACATGGACAGCACAGGGACAGGACATGAACCAGGACCAGGACTGGGACTGTGACAGGACAAGGACAGCACATGGACAGCACAGAGAAAGGGACAGCACAGGGACAGCACATGGACAGGACATGGACCAGGACCAGGACCGGGACTGGGACTGCGACAGGACAAGGACAGCACATGGACAGCACAGAGAAAGGGACAGCACAGGGACAGCACAGGGACAGCACATGGACAGCACAGGGACAGCACATGGACAGCACAAGGACAGCACAGAGAGGGCACAGGGACAGCACAGGGACAGCACCGGGACCAGGACCAGGGACCAGGACCCGAGACCCGGGACCAGGACACGGACAGGGACAGCACATGGACAGGACAAAGGCAGGGACAGCAGCAGCAGGAGCAGCACAGAGATAGGGACAGCAGAGGGACAGGGACAGGGACAGCAGAGGGACAGCACAGGGACCAGGACAAAGGCAGGGACAGCAGCAGCAGGAGCAGTACAGAGACAGGGACAACACAGGGACAGGGACAGCAGAGGGACAGCACAGGGACCAGGACCCGGGACACGGACAGGGACAGCACATGGACAGGACAGAGGCAGGGACAGCAGCAGCAGGAGCAGCACCGAGACAGGGACAACACAGGGACAGGGACAGCACAGGGACAGGACAGAGGCAGGGACAGCAGCAGCAGGAGCAGCACCGAGACAGGGACAACACAGGGACAGGGACAGCACAGGGACAGTGTTGGACGTACCTCATTGATGTGCTTGTAGGTCTTGATGAGGTCCACAGACAGTTTGCGGAGAGGCGCACTGGCAGGTTCTCTGAAACTGGGGGGAATCCTCCTCTGCAGGATGGTCATGTCAGACAGCACCTGCGGCAACACAACGCTTTGTCAGACACTAGACAAACTACACACAACACCTGCACCAACACGCCTCATCAGACACTACACAACAGATACACACTTCTGCAAGGTTGCTCGACTGTTGTATTTGCTTCTTGATATAAATATAGAGACATATTGATATTGAAGCATAAGCTAAGAAACATAGCAGCTGCTTATATTGTACATTTTGTGTGCTCCCTGTGTGCTCTCACTACTGTCCTGTCTGTGCGCTGCAACATTGACATTTCCCCGCTGTGGCATGGATAAAGGTTCTCTTATCTTGTGTTGAGGGTGGGACTGGCCTGGGTAACAGTCTGAGGCTGAGGCACAGCGACTATTGCTGCAGATATAGCTTTATTAAAGAGGTAAATCGCACTGAACACTACAAAATAAATAGTTAAATTATAGTTATTATTCACTGCTAAATAACTAAACCCATGAATGCAGGGGTGTCCAAACTATTTAGGAATTCGGTCACTTTAGTTCACCAGACTTGTCCAGGGGCCGACAATACGGCTTCTGAGCTATACGATTGGGTTTGAGAAACTTTAGTCCATATTGATACACTGGTCAAAAACTAATTCGTCAGTTTTTCACACTGTAAGGCGCATTATCAAATTTTGTCTTAATTTTCTTATTTAAAGTAGTACTAGAATTTAATGTGCTGCTATCCAGAATCTATAACTACAATATGTGTTTATAATATTTCGGGTGTTCATTTTGACATGTTCAGATGAATTATGTTAAAAAAACGGCTTTCAAGTGGCACTTTTTCACTTCCGCATAGAAACGCTAGGGGGAGCCAAAATGGCGGCGATGACGTAGGAGGAGGGCATCTCACAGCAGCAGACAGCAGTCTGGGCTGAATCTGTAGGAGGTTTCACTGTCATCTGAACAAGGTATAAACATATTTTCATCCGTTTTGTACATAATAGTGTGCAACTCTTTTAACCTTTTAGCCTTATTTGTGAGATTCAAGCAAATTAGTGTTGGGCAAGTTAGCTAACTCTACTTGATATCATAAAACATGCTAACAAGGCTAATATTCGTTTTTACATTATGCCAGTCTCACTCTGGTTGCCTTAGATTTATTTACCACAATGTACATTGTAATATCCATAAATGCTAACACCTATTAACGGTTTAATTAGCATTTTTATCAATGATTGCATCGCATGTAGTCTATGTTTTCAACTTCTGCAGCTTTTTGTTCATAAAAGTAAAATATTTATTTAATTCAAGTTATTTTGATTAGCATTTTTGAATATTACAATGTACATTGTGGTAAATAAATCTAAGGCAACCACAGTGAGACTGGCATAATGTAAAAACGAATATTAGCCTTGTTAGCATGTTTTATGATATCAAGTAGAGTTAGCTAACTTGCCCAACACTAATTAGCTTGAATCTCACAAATAAGGCTAAAAGATTAAAAGAGTTGCACACTATTATGTACAAAACGGATGAAAATATGTTTATACCTTGTTCAGATGACAGTGAAACCTCCTACAGTTTCCAACCAGACTGCTGTCTGCTGCTGTGAGATGGCCTTCTCCTACGTCATCGCCGCCATTTTGGCTCCCCCTAGCGTTTTTATAAAGGTGCCACTTGAAAGCCGTTTTTTTAACATAATTCATCTAAACATGTCAAAATGAACACCCGAAATATTATAAACACATATTGTAGTTATATATTCTGGATAGCAGCATATTAAATTCTAGTACTACTTTAAGGTGCACCAGATTATAAGGCGCACTGTTGAAATGGAAGGCTTTTATGTGCGCCTAGTAGTGCGAAAAATACAGTATTTAGAAATAAAGTTAATGGCCACATTCCAAAGATTCACAACAAGGTACAGTATGACTTTATTGGTGGAGCTGAAGTTGGCTGGATGACACTGTGAAAGTGCCTAAATTGCTAGTTTGGGTTCATGTGTTTATTATTTAAATGTATTGTTCTAGTATGAAGGTATTTTGACCAATTACTTTTATTTGACATGAGTTTACAGATAGATATTCTGGTGGATTGAACAAAATGAGTTTGGATTGAACCAAAACGAGTCCAAGTATATCAGATCCCTGTGTCTCCCGGTCAAATTCCCTGTGTCCTTTCCCTCTTGTGGTCAGTTTTTGTCTTTGTCCTCAATTCATGTGTTCTACATTCAGTTGAGTTTTTGGATTCTTGTTTATTATATATATATTTTTTTTGCAGTATTGTATTTTGGTCCTTAAAGATGCAGTTAGCGATGTTGTTAGCTTAGCCGTAGCACCAACTCGAAACCACTCCCCCCTCCCCTCCCTCTCCACCAAACCAAACATCCAGCATTTTCTTTTCTTTGTCACAACAGGGAGAGTGGGTGGCAAACGTGAAATACGCATTTTCTGTTCAGCCTCAGGTGCACTTGCAAGAAACAGGAAGAGGGTGAAGGGGGTAAAAGCATCCCATTGGTTTATTTTTCTCAGCCCGCTCCAAAATATTTGTATACATTTTTGGAGACTAAGCATCTGGTCAATTCCATTACTATTTTAAAACACATGATAACTTGACTACGTTTAGGGTTTAGAGACGTTTTCCCACAATATTTAAAAAAAATGTGTCAATGACTGCATCTTTAATCCTTTTATGGAAATGTGACACCTTGACTATGACCAGGGTCAAAATCTGGATCATACTAGTCCTCCATGCACTTCACCCTTCACTTCACCATCATCGTTACAAACTCTTTCTCTCTAAGGCTATATCCACACGAAGACAAAACGCTTATAATTTCAGAAACTTTTTCTGTAAACACGGAGTTAGCTCAGTAAATGTGTGCGTCCATATGAATGTAGTCAATACGCCTGAAAACGCTGTGAAACTATGCCAGACCTGTTGGTGGCGCTGTGACGCAATGACGGGATCAAGCCCAAACTTCCGTGGGCATGCGAGGAATTTTGTAAACAGACAACATGGCGAGTGGGCGAGCTGGTACTACATTAGTATGGGCGGACGATGAGGTTGAACTGTTGCTTCGGGTCACACTGGATTACAAAACCAACAAGCTACATTGTTGTTGTCATTATTTTCGGAGTGCGGCGCATGCGTGCTTTAACAAGAGGCGGGGCGATGACGCAAGCGTCTCAGATACATTGCGGAGAGGCAGTAACCACGGAGCGGCATATACGGAGTTTTGAAATCTTTCCACTCTGGGACCTGGTTTCAAAAATGTTCGTTTACACCCTCCCAAAACGCCGGCCTCGTATGGACGATACACTGGATTGATAAAGTATTTTTGCGTTTAGGCCTGAGCTTGACTTCGTGTGGACAGGGCCTAAGACTGTAAATACAAACTAATGCAATAATATAATACCAGTTATGTGAGATTTCCCAAAACGTCAAGAAATATGCAACACCATCCATTCATTTTCCAAATCAACACATTTATATGTTGTTTGTTGCCCTTTAACAACACCTACTCATGTGGCTTTTTAAATATGAGTTTTGTGTGATCCTAGTGCCCAGAGGAAGGGTAAGCAGCGCACCAGAAAGGACCTAAGACAGTGGCACAAGAGAATCTGTCACACGGCGCCCTCTGCTGGCCATACATTTAAACTTAACACACAAAGTACCATGTCAGAGCACCTTCTGCGGACCTCCATCTGACCAAACAGGACTTTGAGGGCTATTGCTAACTCATGACAATCTGCTGCTGACGTGCTTATAACATCTGGACCTTTAACTTGACGAGATGTAAAAATACTCATGTAAAAAACTAATGCATAAACATCAGTCAAACACAACTCCTCTACTGCAGCTGCCCTTTGTTTATTGTACAGACTCAGGTTTGTCACTGAAACTGGGCAGACAAGGCTTGTTTTATTTAAAGGGCTCTAATCGTCTTTGTATGAACTTATGTTTTCCTCAAAAACACAAACAGTTGTAAAAGGTTTGCATCAATCCAAACCCTCCAGACTCTGTCCTCACATAATTCAATGTGATGAGGGATATCAGTTATCAGTCAGTTAATTGTTAGTTACTGATTACTATTCATCTTCTGCCATTGAATGAGGAACGTACTTTGGCCACGCCTACTGCTTCTGATCAGTGCACGAAATAATACTAAACTTAATTAATCTATACTTTACTATCCCTGTAGCAAAATGTGTTCTCTGCATTGGACCCATCCTTCTCTGCCTCTCGGGCGTCTGTCAGGAGCAGTGACCCGTCCACAGATGTTGATGCTCTTGGTCAGGACCAGAGCTGGAAGATTATGTCTATTGTACATACAGTATGTGGAAACCGAAGCATCCGGAGGAAACCTACGCAGAAAAGCGGAGAACACGCAAACTCCACTCAGTAAGAGTGGAGTCCTGGGATCCGGGTTGGAACAGGATCTTTCTGAGTGCTAACTACTCAGCCACCGCGCTGCCCCACACTAACATTTTGGTTCCATTACATCAAATCAAGATGCATTTGTCTGATTCAAGAAACTATGATTTATAGAACTTAAAAAAAAAAAATCTCCGATCATTAAAACTCCACATTTTTATATGAAATGTTTACACAAACAAATAGTTTCTATCACTCAAAGCTGCTTTGCTTTTCTGGCCTCTGTCACATCTTTACATCATCTTTTCAGACCACCCTCCCACTCACAGGGCTCTTTCTCACTTCCTGAGGTCCCCAGCTTTAAGGAGGTGCAGAGAGTCGTACCTGCTGCTGCTCGGCCATGGAGTGGATGGAGCTGAAGGAGGGGTGTGGGTGTGTGTGCTGGCTCGTCATGGCTGGCTCAGCGAGGGAGAATCCCTGGGCAGTGGAGGAGGAGGAGGAGGAGGAAGAGGAGGAGGACGAAGAGGAGGTGGCAGGACATCCTGAGCTGCTCGCACCTGCAAAACAAGCCGTCGTTAAAGCACAGCGTACACATGACCGCGTCAATATTTAATTTGGGATTCCATTTTTTAGAATGTCAGATGAACACTGATGCATCAAAGCCCCCAACCAACACCATCCTTTAGATCACTCATTCATAACAATTGTACATGTTTTTAGGGAAACTGGAGCACCTGGAGGAAACCTAAGCAGGCGCGGGGAGAACATACAAACTAACCACTCAGCCTCTGTGCTGCCAGTCTCTGTGAGGGCGGCTCGGTGGCTGAGTGGATAGCACTCTCGCTTCTCAGCAAGAAGGTCCTGGGTTCGAATCCGGGTCGGAACAGGGCCTTTCTGAGAGGAGTTTGCATGTTCGCTCCGTGTCTGCGTAGGTTTCCTCCGGGTGCTCCGGTTTCCCCTACCACTAAAAACATGCACAATAGGTATGAATGTATGAGAGAGTGAATGGATGATGTTGATGGTCCAGTGTGTTCGGCGACTCGCTGCCGTCATCACCGTGTGTGGAATGATTGGAACAATATCTGAACTGAACATTGTAAAGCGCTTTGGGTGACTTTGGCCTGTAAAATGCGCTACATAAATAAACAATATTTAAAAGTCATGATGTGAAGTTCCTTTGGACAGTCCCTGACAGTATCTGGGTCAGAACTTGTGTTGGTGAGACGGGCTGCTTCTCCCACAAACCCACAGAGGAAGTTCTGTTCAATACTATACTTTGATCCTTTGCGACTATTTCTGTAAACAATAGTATCAGAGTGATTGAACGGTTAAAGACCAGATGACTATTAAAGAAATCTATAATCAATCTATATTTTGATATATTTCAAGTTGATATTCTGGGAAACGTGGAGAAATACAGACCAGCATAACACTGTAGAAAGACAGGAGAGGACCGGCATAACACTAGGAGAAAGACAGGAGGACCAGCATAACACTAGGAGAAAGACAGGAGGACCGGCATAACACTAGGAGAAAGACAGGAGGACCGGCATAACACTAGGAGAAGGACAAGAAAGGATCAGCATAACACTAGGAGAAAGACAGGAGGACCAGCATAACACTAGGAGAAAGACAGAGGACCAGCATAACACTAGGAGAAAGACAGAGGACCAGCATAACACTAGGAGAAAGACAGAGGACCAGCATAACACTAGGAGAAATACAGAGGACCGGCATAACACTAGGGGAAAGACAGGAGAGGACCGGCATAACACTAGGAGAAAGACAGGAGGACCAGCATAACACTAGGAGAAAGACAGAGGACCGGCATAACACTAGGAGAAAGACAGGAGGACCAGCATAACACTAGGAGAAAGACAGGAGAGGACCGGCATAACACTAGGAGAAAGACAGAGGACCAGCATAACACTAGGAGAAAGACAGAGGACCAGCATAACACTAGGAGAAAGACAGGAGGACCAGCATAACACTAGGAGAAAGACAGAGGACCAGCATAACACTAGGAGAAATACAGAGGACCGGCATAACACTAGGGGAAAGACAGGAGAGGACCGGCATAACACTAGGAGAAAGACAGGAGGACCAGCATAACACTAGGAGAAAGACAGAGGACCAGCATAACACTAGGAGAAATACAGTGGACCGGCATAACACTAGGAGAAAGACAGGAGAGGACCCGCATAACACTAGGAGAAAGACAGGAGAGGACCCACAAAACTCTAGGAGAAATACAGAGGACCAGCGAAAGACAGAGGACCAGCATAACACCAGGAGAAAGACAGGAGAGGACCGGCATAACACTAGGAGAAAGACAGGAGAGGACCAGCTAAACACTAGGAGAAAGACAGGAGAGGACCGGCATAACACTAGGAGAAAGACAGGAGAGGACCAGCATAACACTAGGAGAAAGACAGGAAAGGACCAGCATAACACTAGGAGAAAGACAGGAGAGGACCGGCATAACACTAGGAGAAAGACAGGAGAGGACCAGCATAACACTAGGAGAAAGACAGGAGAGGACCGGCATAACACTAGAAGAAAGACAGGAGAGGACCAGCTAAACACTAGGAGAAAGACAGGAGAGGACCAGCAATGGCACAGTAGGAAACAAAAGGTGGGACTTCTGGTAAAATCTCCCAAAATATGTTTAAATTGAACATTAAATACAGTTTAATGCTACATTTCTTTAACATGTATATCATACATGAGCAGAAATCTGGAACAGTCTCCCTGCAAACTTAAGACAGGCTTCTTCTGTGACAATGCTCAAATCCAGGGTAAAAACTGTGATTATTCATGATCTTAATGCCTTGTATTGTTTGGCTGGTTTTGTGAAGTACTTTGTGTTTCCCTGTGTATGAACTGTGATATGTGTTTACAGTAAAGTGTCAATTAAAGTATCTGGACTCTAAAAGGTTATAACTCTAAAAACTATCATAGGTTATAAAAACGATTTCAAACACAGACATATCAAAGAGATATTGTGAATAAAATCGAATTAAAAGATTGACATATACATTTTTGGTGTAATTTTAAAGGACCAGCTCAGCCTCTGATTTGATAATTCTGTGACTCAGTGACATAGAAAATAAAAGGTCCTCAGGGACAAAGATGAACTCAGGAAAACAATTAATTTAAAAATAAATTATTTTTGAAAAACAATCAATACAAATTAAAATGACCCTTGAAGTAATCACTTTATATCTCTATATCTGTGTAAAAATCTATTAATAAAATGTGGATCTGAAAACATGTAACAAACTTCCGCAGCTCATTCGAAGGATCAGGTCCGTGACACCGATAAACATGTGACTAATGTATAAACACTTCTCTTCAAGCAACTTATAATGGTCAGAAGAGGGATTTGGATACATGAAAAACATTAAAATCTAATATTTGGCCCAAATGCCTCATCTAGTTACCATAGAAACCACAAAGTAAACAACGCTCATCTCACCTACACAACAGCTATGGACCGACAAGTACAAATCTTAACCAACCACCAAATGACAAAGCTTTAAGTAGTTTAGCACAGCACCGGACCTGTCCACGTTCTGCGGCCGCTGTGTGGCCCTGGTCCTCGTTCTGTAGCTTAGGTCCTGGATCTTTAGTCCTTCTGTCCGTGAGGAGCGGATCGCTCTCTCAATGTGGATCTCCCCGAGGTTTCTCACTTTTCTCCCACTGGGTTTTAGAGTTTTTCCTCTTATGCAGGAGGATCTGTTGGACAGTTAGTATCTAACAAGAAGGACTGTGGTCAGGTGATGATCCAGGACACTTTAACATCTTATCAACGTTCATGGACATTGGTCTCTCCTTATAGACCAATACATACAGTATGTGTATATTTTGTGTCGCAACTGTTGATTCTCTGATCTGTGTTGGTGATTTCAATGGTTTTGTTAATCCTCTGAGATGACTACTGTTGTGATTTAGGGCTATACAAGAATAAATTGTATTGTAATGTTTTGTATTGTATTGTAAGTAGAGTAGTGTTTGAGTGGGAGGGCCATGAGATTTGATGAGCCTCTGCTAAGTGCTATTAAGTAAACCAAACCATCAGTGGTATTTTTGTCTTTCATCCAGCTCCTGTTTGTGTTATTGTTGTGTAATTTGAACAAATCAGCACAGAATGGCCTAGAATCCCACACCAAATACAAAGTTGATTTGTTAAATTGCTGCCGCTTTCAATTGAGGAGCTTAGCTAAAACGATGCTAACAGCCAGTTAGCATCAGATACTTTGTTATCACATGTAGGAGAAATTCAGGTGTCCAGCAGCAGAAACACATCCGTCCAAACAAACACAAATACCTACTTCTAAAAAGGTACCAACAACAGTGACGTGCACTATGCTAGCTTGACGCCAACAGGTCAAAATAAGGGAGAGGATAGAGAGGTAGGACTGTCCTTGTGTTTATCTAGCTTCAGTCTGAACCCTTTTATCACATCACACTTATTATAACAGCACATGGAAACTGCCACTCCCCGCAAAAAAACAAACACCACTCCAAACAAGCAGTAAAAGGACACTGTGCTGATGACAGAGGAGAGGGTTTTATTTTAGCGTCACGAGAATAGAAATGACAGCAGAGAAGTGAAAATGTCTTGGTCTGGATTTGGAATTGTATCCTAAAGCCTTATCTAATTAAATGTCCTTCAAATCTCAGTTATTGGCTTTTGTAATCAACTATAACGGTCAGATAATGGATAGGAACTACAATTAGATAATATCCTAGATATCAGCAAAACCAAAACAGAAGCACTAATTATGTATTTTCTCCAACTTGTAGCTCAGGAGCTACTGGTAGCTCTCCACCTTCATGCCAAGAAGCTCTCAAATGATTTTACAACATCATGCTGAATGTTTAAACTTAAAAACACGAGTTCTCAGTGGAACAAATGGCGTCAGTAATAATTCAAGCTCAGGCGCAACTCTGCTTTTTGTGTAGGGGACTGTTTTAATAAATGTAGTTTATAATACACATTTAACTTTAAAAATCATGTTTTTGGGCATGATTTTCCACACTCAACATTTTCTCAGATAAACACCTCTTATTTCAACTATTTATTACTGTAATATCTCATTAGTTTGTTTTTTCTTCAGGGTTGTGTGTCATTATAGACTTTCTTACACCTTCCTAATGGAGCAGCAGGTGGAGACTGGAGTTGGAGCACAGAGCAGCAGCAGATTCTCACATTTCAGTCCAATATTAGTGTATTGCTTGTATGTAGTGTTTGTCTACGTCTAAAGGTTATTTATCATTGGAACAAGCCTAAAATGTTAACGTTTGTAAAATAAATACTGTAATAAGTCCCTGCAGCTCCATTGGACTCGACCTCCTGCTACATACAGCGACTTTGACCTCAATTAAAAATATCATTTTAGGAACAACTATGGATTTGTACTCTATGAACGGTTTTACATCATTGACTGCAAATTACAGATATACTTTGGGATTCATTAAATTGAAATCAAACTAAAATATTATTTTACATAATAAGCTAAATCAGAGCAGAAACATGTGAAACAAAGGCTTC